ATCAGATGGATATATTCTGGTTATATTCCTATATAAACGCAAGGTTACAGAGCACCTGCATGATTTCACTGTTAAACTACCATCTTGTGGCAATTACATCACTATTTGTGAAGGAAATTCTGAATTTCTGTATCACATCTATGAAGTTCTGGCTGGACTCTAAATGCAAGTAGGCTACCGTAGTTAACGTGCATTTCTGTTTGTAACACTGCAAACTGTTATCATACAAAAACCCACAGACACTTAGATTAACTAGATTAAAGTAAAATATTTGCAAAGTTTTATGTTATTTCCCCTTCCCCTTCTAAAAATCTACCTATTAGCCTGAGCAATAAAAAAAGCAAATTGTGCACAATGATCATATTTATTTAACCAACATAAGCAACACAAAAAATTGAGTTTCTGGTGTTCATTTGAGGCATTAATTTATGCAACTTTCCCATCAATTAAACAAAACCAAAACAAACTTCCCTTGGCAAAAAGGGTAACCAAAAAAGCTTTAAAAATCACGGGTATGGTACTTGCATATTGGTAAAACCTGCAAAAAACATATTCAGCGCTGATAACACAGTTAAGCTATTACTAGTTTTACAAATACATTTACATTTGTGTGAAAAAGTAAAACAGCCAGTGAACACAAATAAACTCGTTGCAGGCCTGAGTATGATGTACTGCATGTAAGCGAGCACACCATCCTTCCTCACTTGCAGTGCTATAACAGGGTTTCTCACCCTAGGCAATCAATGCTCCTTTATACTGTAGTTACTAAGAGTCCAACAATCCACAGTGGCAGTGAAGAAAAAACACAGCCAAACTCTGCATCCATGAAAAAGCAACGTTGGTCTGCCCAAGAGCAAGAGCCAAACTATGTTTCACTATTTCCCACTCTTCTCTGTCTCTCTCAGTTCTCAGTTCATGGGTAAACACTGGATTATACTGCCCCTCTTCTAAATGTATCGATGTCCCAACCAGTCATTTCTTTTTCACTCTGAGGTCTTCTTCTCTCTCTCGTTGCCATTTGCAGTTGGGACAGCGAACTGTGAGATGAAGGCGCACCAGGGATTACATCTGCTGTAACCTTGGTGATGCATACTCTCATCCCTCTGTGAATAATCACAGGAGGCTTTTCTCTGCTGGTTCCTGGTAACTCAGACAAATCATGGGGCTTACAGCTTGTTTAGCAACAGGAATACTCTTAGCATCCTCCCCATCGTTGGACTCGCAGGTCATTCGGATAGCTCCCACGTCGAGTCCTCTGACAGTTGTGTAATACCATCAATTCCCCCTCACGCAGATAAATCAAGGTTACACATCCTTCCATCGCTGCACAAAGTACCTTGGGTTATTACTTCCCTCCCCACAGACTGTATCAGGCTTAGCCTCAGCCTGGTTCAGTGGACGATATGAAGGGGTCTAAACCGGCTATTCACAATTATTACTGACTGTTTGCAATTCCTCTGCAAGAACAGAGAAGATCCTACTTCTCGCTCTGGGAAACATAGTCCTTTTTGCTCATCAGTTACTTGTTCCCCAGTGTTTTTTCTCTTTTATAAGCTGGGGCAATTGAAGCAAACACACAGAAACACTTTACATGTAACTGCATCTACATTTACACCAACTATGAAAATGTGAAAATCTCAAAGTATCATAGCGGTTATGTCAACAACAGTTTTTCCATGTATTTGAACATTTCACCATTGGGGGGTTTACCCCACAGTTACAGCATGCTGACTGTCTTATTGCCGTTTTATCGCTGTGTTGACGCACTTTGAAGATAGCAGTTGACTGCAAGAGGTTAAAGACCGGTACTCCTCTTTGAAGCAACCATTTCAAAGGGAACGAGACTGCAAGTTTGTTGCACACAGTTGCAATCAAAACTGATGTTTTGAGCCAACTTTAAAAGAGGAAAGTTCAATACATGATTAAGAGAAGTTAATTTGAGCCAAAGTTGTTGCTTTATTTTAACTGGTAGGGCTAAGTTGTGATTGAGCTGAAGGCTGAGCTCTAATAGTCATGATTTACATGTGTCAACAGCACAACAGTCCTTTACTGAGCAAGAAACTGAGTTTACTCTAATGTGGGAAGTGCAAAATCATCACACCTCACCTTAAATAAATGTGAGAGAACATGTTCTAGTAGAATTGGAGCAGAAACAAGACATTTGATGCTATTAAAATGTAAAAGAAGAACTTCAAGAATATCAGGGAAAAGATATTTCTAAGGAAAGCAGACTGTATTGTGGTGAGTACTGACAGTTCAAGATGATAACATCAATAATTCTGTTCACCGAAGAAAGGCGCTTTTTCACTTCTCTTCTTCTTTCAGAAATTCATGAGTCAAATTGGCCAATGTCAGCCCACAGCAGGCATTCACTGCTTGATTGTTACTGACACAGAACTTCCCCAACTGTGACTCCTCTCTGACATAACAGCAGCCAAGGTCATTTTGCGTCATAGAAAAACAAACAAACAAAGAAACAAAATGGGCACAGGTGAGGAAAAAAAGGTGATGACAACGCTTTGGTGGTGCAAACTCCCCCCACTGCGCCATGCTCTGTTACAAAGTTAGATCCCCTTTGAGCTGGCAATTTCTGATACTTTTATCGCAAAAGAAAAAAATTATTGAGTTCCACAGTTTGCCACAAAAAATACAGAAAGAAATCATGGTTTCTGGATGTGGAAATAACAAAATAAATTGCTAAATCCTGCAAGAAGTGGGTCTGATATTGCACCTTAAAGCCTCTACTGCTACACAAGCCAGCAATGACAAACCTCAGATTCATTAGACTCAAATAACTGCATGCTCTCAACTTTTAAGTCACTTTTTTTGTCACTTTTTTGTGTAAATTCTATTTATCCAAAGAATTTCATCAACTGTAATACCGCAATGCTTCTCTGACACATGCAGATTGAATCCCTTTGCATGTGACGGTTGGTCACACGCGAACACAACAAAGGCCTTTTATGCTGTCTGAGCATGTGTACCGTCTCCACTGTAAGACTCGTGACCGTGTGCGCTTGTTCCAGTGATCCACGGTTTGTCTAAGGGCTGGTAGACAGGCCGCGGTCATAAATATGCCCAGCTGTAACCACGGTGATTTGCAGGTTTGGAGAAGCCATAAACACGGCCACTGAGCGGCCCGCTGTCCGTAGAGGAGGCTGAATTAAGTGGTGAGTGTGTGGATCTGTGCGTGCTTGTGTCTATCCATACTGGAATGTGTGCCTGTGAGCTTCCTCAAGGGTATTCTTCATTGGAGATGGGAGCAGTTTGGTCACTGGGTGAGGGTTTGAGGAGTGGTGGGGGAGGGTCATTAATCTATGCTGGTCCATTGGCTGTAACGGCGGAGGGGAGGGGTTAGTGCAGCTGGTCAGTTAACTGCTGTCAGCTTTCTAATATGGAACATTCTTCAATATTAGATGGCGAGTGCATGATCACTGGGGCCCAACCAGATCCACTAAAACACTACATCTTCCCTGTCCTGCATCTTTTAACCTCTCACATTTTTTTTGTTGTTTATTATGCAGCACGGTCTCCGGGTAGGTTGAAGATGGAAGATCATACTTGCTCTGCATTTCAATAATGCAGCAAGAACAAACTCGTTTGAACTGGTTAGCAGAATTATTGCAGACTGTATTGCAATACAGTTTGGCTACACAACCTGAGATGCAGAGGATTAGGCTAGTGTGATCCACATGCCTCAAATATAGAACTCTATGTGACCTCTTCTCAGGTTTGACATGTCTTTATTGTGTTTTTTTACCATTTATTTAACCAAAATGTCAAATTCTTGATATTGTGCCCAGCACCGGAGCTTCCAAAGAAAATCCACGCAAGCAAGTGAAGGATATGCTCCGTCAGAAATGTTTCAAACGCACGACAATCTTGCTGTAAGCCAAGAGTACTAACCCCTGAGCCAGTGTGCTTCTTACAATTAATTTGAGCACAGAAAAGCTATTCAATGTTCCAGTGATACATGCAGTACAGTATGGACAGATGCCAATTGTGGTCACAAGATGATTTCTGATTGATTCTGACTGAAGACCGTATGTAAAATCAATGCAGAAAACAGCTTTTAGATGGTGTGTGTGGCCTGTGATGGTGGGATCGATCATAGATGGGAAAAACACAGCAAATAGTTTGCCCGAAAGTTCAATATCTGTGATGAAAGTCTCCGTCGCCTTCAAATGGATTTCTAAACAGTGTCAGATCTTAGAAAAAGAACAACCAAGTCCAGAGAAAAAGTTTGCTGGAAAAAAAAACATTTAGATGATGTGACTTCACACTCCTCTGAGAGGTTATTACACCATTATATACCCTAATGGACTCCATCTCTATTATGCTGGCAACAGCACTTCAGCTGAAAGTTCTCAGCGAGTTTGTTTCATGTGATATACATCAAACACATTTACACTGAAACTGCAGCTTGTGATTAGCATGAATTAATTTCATATCAATTCTATACAACGCATAAAGAGAATTTATAGCAGGAAGTCGTGCTGGCGTACATTAACTTTTGTTGTTTTGAATAGGTACAAAATAATACCCTGGTGCTAAGTGCTCTTAGCAACAGCCTGGGTCATCTATTGAGTACATGCATTTCATAAAAATGTCTTTACAACCACAATAATTTTGGCCATAATGACCACTACATAGCCCACTGTAGCTGACTTTAGACAGATGCTGGGCAAAGTGCAAAAACCTCCAACCCATATTTTTAAGCTCCTGTGCAAATAGCCGTCAGAACAGAAGATAGTTGGACATTTGCTCTGAAAGCTATTTGGAAAACGAATGTGACTTTTTTCTATTTTGTAAGAGGAACTGGCTCTGGCAACATTTTAAAACACTGATCGAAGGAAACCACAAGATACTTTTAAAAAAATTGATAAAGGATTTTCTGGGTAAGGTAAAGTAATTTATCTTAGCAGGCTTCCTTAGATAAGACCAAACTAAGCTATGACTTATACCTATATAAGTAAGCTAAGTCTGATATAGAAGCTAAGCTTTTAAAGGACTGTCAAATAGAGCCAATACCTCATAGAAAAAAAAATATTTCTGGAGCAGAACGCCCCTCGAAGTATCCTTATTTTAAATTGTTTGGATCACAGTAATATACTGCACAGTGGTGTGGTTGTTACCAGTGTTGCTAACCAAAAGGTTTTGTGTTTGAATCCTTGGACCCTCCCGTGTGGAGTTTGCATGTTCTGCCTGCACCTGTGTGTAATCTGGATTCTCACCACAGTGGCTAGGTAAGTAAGAAAGTAAGGTTTATTTTTAAAGTACCTTTTACAAAAAGTGGTCAAAAAGCATTGTACACAAAATGGAGCAAAACTAAATAAGAAAACCTTAAATAACATAAAAACAATTGTGATTCAGAACAAATTCCATTAGAAAAAGAAACAACCTCTGCTCAAAAAACTGTGCTGTCTCTGTGCTGACCCTGCTGCAGACTGACTACACCCCACCCCACACCCCAGGACCTCTGGGATAGGCTCCAGCCCCTTAATTGGTGACCCTCAATTGAATTAGTAGGGAAAAATTGAGTGAATGGATGCATCAGAGTGCATCAGAGTTAAAATGTGCCATAGACACCTTGGGGTGAGGTTGGGTGAGGGCTGAGCTACCACTGCCAGAGTTTCTGAAAGTTTTCTGTGCTGCCTAGAAATCAGGATGCAGTCCACAGTGCTGCTTACTGATCACACAGCGATACTTCCCCAAATCAAATCATTTAAGTTTAAATCCCTTGAGTTATTCACAGAGAGTAAAACGAACCAAAGCAGTGGGCGTCTGAAATTTCCCCAGTATTAACAGAGGGCAGAAATCGTTCATGGGTCCAAACTGCAGTCAGTGTGAGACATCACATTGTTTACACTGAAGCCGAGAGCAGAGTAAATGTTTTTCATGTCATTCTTTTTATTTTTTCACAAGTATTGAGTATTTTCTATGTACATTTTATGACAGAGCAGACTCAAAATGATGATTTCCTTCCTGAAGAGTTAATCAATAATCTATGCTGCTCACATTATTAATACGAACCACAGAGTGATTGCAGGTCGCTTCTTGGTTCCCGTCCCCTCTGTGGACTTGTGCATGTAGCTCAAAACCTTTGATCATGTGGATTGTCTGCAATGCACAAACTGTACAACTGAGAAAGCAATTTTTCCTCATGTTATTTTTTCTAGCATACATGCATATATGTGCACTTCATATGTATAAAAATTAGCAACCTGACTGGTCTGAGTTCAAGTCCACAGCTGTCAGTATTTTTGCATGAGCTGGCTTTTAGTTTTGGCAAGATCTCACATAAAACATCAGAGGACAGTAGTTCATTTATGATTTACAGTTACACAAACTCATACTCACATACTTTACTTTAAAATATCTCATTTTTTCAAGCTAGTTTAAAACACTAAATTTTAACCCCATCTCCCTGGCACAGGTAACAAAGTCTCATACAAAACATGACCTAAAAAAAAAAGAAATCTTTTGATCTGAGCCAGTTCAACCACACAGTAGGTCTCAAATATTGTATCAGAGATTGCATGAGGTCTTCAAAGGAACCTAGTTAATACAATAATCTCAATAGTTTGCACAGAGGTCATTAATTCGAGTGAGAAAGGGGCAACAAGGTAAGAAGGGAGTGCAAAATTAGAAATTGTAAAGAAAAAAAACTCAGAAGGTGAGGCAAAAAAAAAGGGAAAAGGTGATACCGCAGAGGGGAGAATAAGAGGTGTGAAGGAGGAAAAGATAAGTGCAAATGACAAGAGAACAAAGTAAAGTTGAGACTGAAGGCAGCAGAAGAGGAGAGGAGCGAGGAATAGAAGCGATTCAAAGCAAAAAGAGGAAAAAAAGGGGAATGAAATCCCTCTTATGGGTGTTTGTGCCTCCTGAGAGGGTCACAGATTGAGGAGATGAGTGACCTTGTGGTCATCTGTCAGCCCCTCTGACTATGCTGGAGGCAGGATATCTCTCCAGGGAAAGGACACACTAGAACACACACACGCATGCACACACTTGAACTCACAAACCATCGTACAGTATACTGAGGAGAACATATGCATACTCCCACATTCTCACTCACACGTTTGCACAGGAACAAAACAAAAAGGATGAAATCATTTGGAGCACAACACAAAATACGTGTTGTGAGGCAACTGAAGAGAGACTGCACTCTTTGCAATGAACAAACAAGATCGCTTCATGTCACATCCTGAAGGCTTTCACTGTAAAAAACTGCTGCCGTCAACTTTTCTGTACTAGGCTGTCTCATACTGGTTCCCAGAGGTTTGTACACAGGCACAGTTTTACATATGTGACACTCACATGAGAGGAAAACATGTTTTTCTATAGATATTTTAAATGTAATATCGTGCACAGGCCAACAGACTGATTTTAAAGGACTTCAGACAGGGACAGGGATATCTGGCAGTAGTTAAAACTGCATCTCGTGCCCTTCATCAGCATGTAATCATGAAAACCATCAGCCTGCGGTCACCACTCAAAATGTATATAGAAAACTGAACAGTGAACAATTTTCATTACTATTTTATGCACATAAAAAACAAATGTAAAAAGGAAAATGTCTCTTTGAAAACGTTTGTTTCATGTTCTGTGCAGTCGCTCCAGAAATCAAATGGCTCTGCACATTATCAAAGGAAATTACATTAGCTACAATACTGAACTTTTTTTCCCTCCTATGATTACACTGTATTTGTTCTCAAGGTGCGAGGCCAGAGCTTCTTTTACACATATATATATATAGGATATATAAGATATATTTAAGATCACTTAGGCCTTAAACCTTTTCGCAGTGGGTCCCTTGCAATTATTTTAATGGGCTCTGGGGATCCTATGTTGTTATTAGGAGAGGAATGAAATGATCATCTTGGCTAAAGCAGCAGCTGACCACTAATACATTGTCTCATTATATCTTGTACTCTCATCTTGGATGGCAGCGCTGTGGCAAGGAAAGGCCCATTACGAGAGGAAGCTAGCATGAGGTAAGTAGTGCTCTTCATAATGTGTGGGACAAAGACACAACCTTTGTAGTTTAGCCTCTGTAACACCACCATAGTGGATTGTAAATCAAACAATCAATATGGGGCAGACTAAAGTGCAGACTTTCCGCTTTAATTCAAAGGGTTTTAGAAGTTTGTTTGCTCTGGGTTTTTTTGGGGTTTTTTTTTTTGCATGAATTGTTGAAGAATTACAGACATTTGAATCTACAGTCCCCCTTTTTTAGAAGTTCAAAATGAATGGGACAATGGATGTACAAGCTGTTTCTTGGCCAGTTAATGTCAGATAGGTTTGATAACTTTTAGAGGTCTGCAGAAGGGCAGGTCTGAACACCCAACAGATGCTCAAGAAAACTTGACCTTTGACCTTCACCTTGAGGTCGAGGTCACTGAGATTCTAACTGGTCCAAGATGTTTAGCAGATGAATCCATGGTATCAATTTCAAAATCCTAATCGCCTCGTTCTCGAGTTACCACTTCCACAAACTTGACTGTCCACCCCGTCTGCCCGCCCGCCGGCATGGTGACAACACCCCAGTCGGCATGTTTATGCTGAGGGATAAAAAAGGAAGTGTCGAGCTCTCCAGGGCCAAAATAATAAAATACAACCTGACACACTATTTAATAACAAAAACTCAATATCCTACATAATCAATCAAAAACCACTATCTTTGGCTCCTCAGTCACTAACACTGGAATTGAACAGATAACGGACAATTAACAGGTAACAACTGGCAGTATTTGTGATGAGGGGTGTGGCAGACCCAGTCTGAAACCAGTGGATCTGACACTATGATAAAATAGTACAAAGCATTAAATATGACAGTATTAAGTGGTCTTTTCATATCACCAGGAACTTTAATATTGCTTAAAGATAAACAGACACTATATGTACAGCTGCAGAGCGTGCATTAAGCAGACATGTCTTGGTACAATATTTTTCAGCTGCTGTTGCCTTTGGGTCAATCGAACTTGCTCACTGCCAGGTAGATCCCACTTTTCCTCTCTTGCCTCCTTGCCAGTAGTGTTCGCATCTCTCTCTACACCTCCTCCATTTTGCTCTCCTGCAGTGTATTTTCTGCATGTTTCCATCCTGCTTGACTGTGTTGGCTTCTTCCTCTCACTTCCCACCCCTGAAGAAAACTCTCTGTTGAGTTTGGACACACTGAAGCGTTTCTGTTGTTGTTTACTGGGAAAACAGCGCAGTGAGACTTCTGAATCAAATTGTGAAGCCCATGAAGGTTCCAGTCCTGTACTGCTTATTAAAATATGGCAAGTGCCCAATATGGGAGTGTCTCTAACATTTTAAAATCTGGGAAGCAGATATTTTATCAGCCTTGTTTTATGGCGAGCCAACACATGTTGGCCTGGTTAGCATGCTGAATGCCAAAAGTTAAAATACCATTCGACACGCCGTGAAAGGAAGACTAAACGTAGACCAAACCTGACTCCAATCTGAGGAGGCCTGATTGTATATTTTACAGTATAGGAAAACAAATGACAAGGTCCTGTTCATTCCTGTTTATTTCCTCATGTTTATTTGGACGAAAAAGCCCCCCACAAGTGTTAGAGACATTATCAGACAGAAAACAAAATGTTTGTGTCTCACATATGCACGGTTTACATAAGCATTATTGTATTGTTGCTTAAACAACACAGAAAATCCCCAAACACTTGTGGACGTCATGGAGGAAGCTCGGGAAGAATGGAGGGCGGGTCAAGACAAAGGCAAAGAAAAGGCCAAGATTTTTTTATTATTATTGAAAAGTGGGAGTTTTTTGAATGCTATGCGCACACTAAACGTGGCGGTTTAAAAATGGATTACAATGCTTTGCTGAGGTAAATCAGAAATCTGTCTATCGCAGGAATCTGCAGCGTGCCGCGTTTACATCATTGCTCTGACGTTTCACCGGATTACTCATGTCGTGTGGGTTTGTGATCAGAACTCCAAACAAACAACCTGCAAAGGCAGCTGCTGAACACCGTCGCAGCAGGAGTTTTATCACAATCGTTTCTCAAACCTGGAATGCTAATTTGAGATAAAGACAAAACTCTGTAAACACATTACCTTGGAAACAAGCCCTTGGCAAAAGCCTTTTTTTTCTCCCCCCTCTGCTGCAATGCTGATGTTAATTTTCCACCGCTGCCTACAGGATTAGAAGTCATCAAAACGCGAGGAAGAGTTGCGAAACAGCGCTCACTGTTTTGAATCCAATTTCAACAATGTCTCATTTTTGAGCAGAGAGAAAATAATCAGCCTTTAGATTCCCATTTTGACTTGTTACAGTGCAATCTAATGAAAACATTAAAGATCTTTATGCTGTTAAGGAAATACAGGACAAACTGGCAGTGTTTCCAGTACCGTAGCAGGTATAAACCTTTCTATAAGCTCCCTGTGTTTCACTTTCTCCCTCCCCAGTTGATTCCCCATAACTCACTCACTACTTGTCCTCACTCCCTCCATCCATCTTTCCCTTTAACCTGTCCTCCCAAACCCTGTCACCTTTGCGACACTCATTTTCCTGTTTCTCTTCAATTTTCTCGCCCAAGTTTTACGGCCCTTTTCTCGCTCTTTCCCGTCCCTGCATCATCACCTCCCTCTCTCCTCCTCTGCCTCCATCCTTCTGTCTGTCTCTCGCTCGCTCGCTCTCCCTCTCTGACCCAGAGGGCCATGTTTCGCTGAAATCCAATCCTCTCTCTTTTTTAAACCTGCTGTTCCATTTCACTCCCATTTTGTCACACTGCAGTGCACACACAATACCCGCTCCTCCCTAATTTCAACTCTCCTCTCCGTCTCCTCACACACATACACAGATGTGATCACACTTTCATACACTGACATTAACAGACATTTGCGCAAAGGCATGAGAAAAATTGAAAAAGTGAGTGGGGGAGGGGGGAATCTTAATTAAGCCATCAATCAAGCTTGATGCTTATGATTGGATTCATACACAAGCGCCCATACACACCTTCCAAATCGCACGCCCACACTTGCAGCTCAGCGTCCATCCATCACAGCTTCACTGACTCCGTTCAACCTCAACTCAGAACCAATCACACAGAGGTTAGGGACTAACTTGTGCATGTGTGTGTATTTGCGTTACAGAAAGAGAACTGACACTGAAGTGCATCATGTCTGTAAAGCCCCTTTCAGCAGAGCTGTGGGAGAGGCAGAACACAGTGAACTGAGATCTGTACAGTTCACTGTCAAACAGTTCTGACTACTAATAGTATGTGATGGAGGGTCAGCGCCATTCTGAAACACCACGCACAAACACACACATCTCTTTTAGTACTTTAGCAATGTTATTCTATTGAAGGCAGGAAAGATGGTTTTTATTTTACCTTTATTTTGAATAAATACGTCCAAAAGTACAGCAGGGAATACAATGCCTATGCAAAAAACATTTTTTAATATGTAATAAACACAATTTTCTTGTGAGACTGGAAGTAGCAAGACTTACTGACAGTTTTAGTGTAGTAGTGTTTCTTGGGATCCAAATAATAATGCATGTATAGTTTATTAACAGTATCACCGCTGTTTGTCTTTTAGCTTTTTATTCAGTTTTAGTGTCGTAGCACAACCCGAGAAAGCATCAGTTATTCTTTGGTCCTGTTTTCCTTCACTCTGGTCCTTTCCCTTGTACTCTGTTATACAAATGATATGATATAAAGCAAATGTGTTTTAAAAGGTTTGGTCTATGAGCTAATGCGCGTCACTGAAAAATTACCCTGACATATCAGAGTGCTAACAATCCATCTGGTTTATTTGTTGCCCTGGTCAGATACTGAGCACAGAAAATCCTTTTTCTCTCTGTGATTCTCGCCACAACCAGATCCCGTCCTCTTACTGCTGTTTGAGAAAAAGAGCAGCTCCACACTGTATCCACTGGTTGGGGTTCGCTCCACAGGGCAGAGAGATGTGCGTGACCACCTTCACCCTCTCAGAGCTGGTATAGAGAGGCAGACAGATACTCTCCTCTGCTGCAGTGCAGGCAGCAACAGAGTTCTAGGATGAAGTAGAAATTTAGTGTATGAGCGTAAGTATGCACAAATACTGTATAGTCACAGAGTTTCATGCTAAATGATTAAAAATTGACATATCTCACGAACGTGATAACAAATAAATGACAACTTTCTGCCACTGCAATGTAACTGATTAGATAAAACATATAAAACTTCAGTCATTGGTCAGTGAAGACCTGGCAAACTCTGGTCACTAGGGAAAATGTGAATTCCTAGACCAGTTGGCGAGTGGTTGCTGGAACTTGCTGGCTGCCTCTAGGTTAAATCAGTCGCAAAGAGAGATCAAAGCAATTGCATTTCAGTGTAGCCTCTTTGCAACCAATCTCACAGCAACTACTCGCCAACCAGTCGAAAGGTCTCAAGACCAGCCTGTAGAGCCCAGTCAACCTCTTAAGTCTGACATCATTAGCCATTTCTTAGCCCAGCAAAGAAGGAGGATGAGGATTAACTTTTTTCCCCTCAATAAACGTTCATGTGCAGGTCCCCGATAGGCAGAGACAAATGCAATCACATGGTAAGAAGAAGACACCAAAAACTGACCCAACTTCAGCAAGAGAAGACCTGAGACGATCCATCTACAACATGAGTTTAGACATTAATATGCTGCTGCATGGTTTGGATGACTCGCTATGAACAATTCCTAAACCTAAGCTTGACGTCCACACTGAAATTTTAGTCAGAGCGATTCTTTTCTGGAGCACTCATATATTTGGTGTCCGGCAAACCAAGAGTCTGTGGGCTGTAGTTACGTGGAAGGGTTTTAAAAACTGACCATAAAGACATGTTGCACATGAATAGTGCTAATAAAAAGCCAGAGAGGCCGACGATGACCACTAATTCTTTTTAGGGACTGACAGAAGATTTTTAAGACCAATACTAATATTCGGTCTTTTACAAATATGGCAAACAGTCAAATGTTATTTATTTCATATGTTATTTATGAATTGTTACTAAAATAATTAACAATCCAAGTTAAAAATAAACATGTCTCAATGTCAACACTGAAGCTGTATAGCGCCCTCTGTTGGACAAACTATGCAACATCAACACTGAAAAATGTTCTAACGCAGTTGAAAGACGATCCTCTCGTCTCTTCATTACTTTTTAAATTAGTATTTAAACAGGCACTCCTGTCAAAAACATTTAAGATGATTACTGTCAGGTGCTGCACAGTGTGGTTCTCTCTTTTAAGAACACATGCATACCTGTGGAACCCAGGCCATGTAGCACGTAGGGACAGCTGACACGCTGGGAGAATCATGCTGGTTCTCACAAAGATGGACACCATCAAAACTGCAACCCTCCAACTGGAGACCTCCAATCTACAAAGAAAATGCAAATGATAAGATGAACAAGAGAAACAGACACGCGAAAATGGAACAACGGGAAAACAGCTACTCTGTGACTTAAACGCTGAACACTGGTGGGAGCCCTTCCCAGATTAACTAGCATGCTACATACTACATGAAAGAGACATCAAGTGAAGTCAGTCTAGTGACTCAGGGATTTTCCACAGTAGGACAGACAATAAAGGGAACTCTGGCGTCAAATCAGACACACACATACAAGTACTATATCACCATAATCTGGGAAAGAAAAACCCAGAGAGTGAGAGCAAGACACAAATCCAGAAAATGTTTCTGTGTGTGTGTGTGTGTGTGTGTGTGTGTGTGTGTGTGTGTGTGTGTGTGTGTGAGAGAGAGAGCTCATTGCTTCACAACAATTATATCCTTTCACTTTCTCTGTCAGACGTCTGAGTGTTTTCCCCTTCCCTCCCTGCAGCTGCAGCCTCTTTGTCAGCACCAACACCCTTTCCTTCTCTCTTTGTGTATTTTAACTAAGCGCATGTCAAACTGTGCCAATTTTTATTGGCATGAGAGCAATAGAAGTATTGCCTCAAAGTATTATATTAAAGACAGTCATATCACCCTTAAATCAGAGCATAAAATGAATAACTGATGACTGAGAGGAGTGCTGCACAGTTCTGTTTGGTCAGAAAGGACTAGAATTACACAATATATCCAAAACGCACCAGAGACCTGAGCTGGCTGCTGTCAGCAGCGGCCTTGTCCCTAATAAAGGCTTTATTCACACCAGGGGGATCTTTGCACATTTCCAAAAGTGCAGTTTGGGTTAGCTGAGTGATCCCCATGTCCCAAAATCAGGCATAATTCTGAGTAACGTACCCTTCTTAAAGAGTTGAGTTCTGGCACAATGGCTAATTCTTTGCTTTTCTTTTACCCCCAGTCTCTCCTTTTTCTTCAGTCTTGTAACTCCTGCCTCCTTATCTGCATCTGTATCTATTCTTGCTGTCTTCTCCTCCAATAATTATCACTCAGCCAGTGTACCTTGGTTATAGCACTTGTATTCTTCTGTAGATGGAGGTGAGGATCTGATGTTTGCATGCATGAGCAGTAGATGACTGGCTTTACCTTTACTTGTAGTTTTGCTTGTGCAATTGAACTCCTCCATGACGAAACAAACACCAAACTATCCATAGAACAGGACATGGTCCTTAAAAAAAGCAAAATGAATATATGTATTTTTAACATTGATATATACACTTATTCAATCCCCTATGAAGGTGTCCAGTGTGTGTGTGTGTGTGTGTGTGTGTGTGTGTGTTACCTGGCAGTTTCCTGTCTCAAAGCATTAAGAAAGGTATCAGGGTGAAATAGCTCAGATAGATCTAGGATGTCTGACAGGAGTGCCTGTCTATTTGCACGTTCCACCCAACTCTATATGAAAAGAAAGACAGAGAAACAGAAACAGAGAGATGTGTAGACGCAAAGATTAATGAGCCAAATACTTTGCAAATTACAAATAAAGACTCAAAGCTAACACATAATGCAGGCATAAAATCTGTTACACAAAGGCATCACACAGTTTTATGTCACATGGAAATACGACACAGATTTGAATTCTAAAAAACGTGTTTACGTTACATGCTTGTGCTTCTCATAAAATAAAACATACAGTTAGATCCATGTGCTTTTGGGGTTTTTTTTTGTGTGTACCAGAGCTTATTCTAGTTTCAGTTAAATAATGACTATGGGCTTAAAGTGTAGCACAGCTTTAATTGGAGGGGTTGAACAAAAAAACCAAACACAAACAAAAAGTGCATGAACCACAGTAGGTGTCTTTATAAACAGAGGCTCAGATGTAATTGGATACATAATTATAAAGCTGTTTTATGGCCAAGTGTGGGCTACATTTTTTTCATAAATTAGGTAGGTCAGAGGTCCGGATATAAGCTGAAGAGTGGAAGCTGTTTGGGTTAATCCAAAATATGCTGTCAAAGGAGCACTCACTGCAGGAGGAACAGGCCGTCCTCAGGCTACATACACTAAACAAATCCAACAGAGAGGTAGCAGGGACTTTAGGAGTGGTCAGATCAAGAATTGAGTGCATTTGGGACACACCGGTGAGCACCGCAACATAAAAAGGTTTAGACATCCACTGAAGATAACAGTGCCAGATGACCACAGGGTCCTTTCCTATGAAAAAAACCCTTTAGAACATTCAGCCGAGTGGAAGGACAGTCTCCAGGAGGGGACATATCATTATCCAGGTCTACCATAAAGAGAAGCATATTCATTACAAGATGCAAACCAGTCACCAGCCTCAAAACAGAAAGAACATATTAGACTTTTCCATAAACACAGCGTAGGACTTTGTTCATTTAAAAACTGCATTTTATATTTGTTTGGGTCATCTTTCTCTAAAATTAAAGCTTGTTGTGATGATCTGAAACAGGTGAATGTGACAAATATGAAAAAAACAAAAAAAAACAAAAGAAAACGAAGAAATCAGGAAGGGGGCAAATAGTTGCAATCCATCAGGTTTTGAGAAGTAAATTAGCGGAATATTCTGCACAGTTAATCACCTGGTCTGAGTCGATCAACAACAACTGAATGGAGCAGCAGTAATGGCCAAAAACACACACACACAGCAGGAAAACCATCATTTGGGGAGGGCCACGAGTGCCACACTTCAGGGGATCATTTAAAGAAAAGGATTTTTACAAAGTATTTATTAATATGTTGATTTGTCCAATTACATATTGAACCTCTAAAAACACCGAACTGTTCAGAAAAACATTTCAGCTAATATTTTTATTCAAACCTTTAAATAAAAGGTGAAAGGTTGAGATTCAAAGTCATATTCATCATGTAACTGTAACTTGACCACATTTTGGTGAACAGCTAAAATAATAAATAATGTCACAGTCCAAAAACACATGGACCCAGCATGTGTCTTTCAGTGGAATGGTTCCTAAATTGGACAGAGTAATTTTTGTCTCAGTTATTGTGTATTTGTGAAGTGAAGCCAAAGGGTTACAAAGGAGAGAATAAAATGCACAGCCTAATGTGGCTAATAGACCATTTAATGCCTCACCTTTTTATCACCGCATCAACAAGCTGATAAAACTGGAACACCAATTATGCACTAATGGGAACATAATACACATACAGACGCACGCCCACAAACCTTGCAAAGCCCAACGCCATTTTATGAGCGCGTGGACAGGGTTAGTGGTGTACATTTACTGAAGCACTATTCTGAGGTACAGTTTTAATGTACTTGATTAAGGTATTTCTATGTAACGCCATTTCTATTTCTATCTTTCTCTTTTAAGTAATGAGTATGTGTTTCAGCACTTTGTAAGAGAGTAATTAAATACAAAACAACGTGTGGTGCTGCTTTTCCCAAACTATATCTGTACAAGGTCTGCGCATGAGACCAAAAACCATGCAGAATATTTTCTACAGCAATTTCTTAACTGTATTTATAATCAAGTATTAAGATTTGCCACCCCAACTTTAAAAATAATCCTGGAAACACTCCCAGATTCTTGGGTTTTGTGCAAAAACAGTAAAATAAAATAAATGCTTAACCCAGACAAACTGATGTTAAACATAATTCTTTGTGTAACTCTGCACAGATGGACTTGGAGCTTTGTTAGCCCCGTCCAATATGTTGATGCAGTCTGCTATATTCAGCAACATCTGCTTTGATTAGATGTCGGCCATCTATTGTGTCACAACAAAAAGGGATAAAAAAAAAAATTATTAAATTGTGTGGCAAACAAAAATACTTTATTACTGGTAAATGTTGCAGAGCACAACTGATTTCACTGTGCTTTTAAACTTTATAAATACAAAAGATTATTTAAGCCCGATTGGCTTCAGCTCTAAGATTTAATGTCAACTGAAGAAAAATGCTGACAAATGGAGGCAGAATGAGCAAACATTTTATCTGTCCAATAGAGATCCAATCTCTTTTATTAATAGATTCACTTTTACCACAGAATCAGTCTGCACTGGCTTTAGAGATAAACTGAGATGAGCTTTATGTCAAGAAGAAATGTGCATAAATCCTAGCTTCACATACACACAAGTACACACTTGCAACTGGGCGCATGTGGGCACATATAATCAAAGCGAGGCATGCACCAAGAAAGATTTGGGTGCATTAATAATAAAGCGAACTGAGTTGTGCTGATGTTGCTCATGCTATTTGTGTGTATATACTGTATGTGTGCAAGCATTTGAGTGCTGTCAAGGTCGTCCTGTTCGTCTGGGTGCACTGCTGTGCTGTTGGCTTTTTATTCTTCAGCAGCTCCACACAGCTGCAGCTCTGGAAGAGTCCGCCTTTATTGCGCTGATTAGCTAATAGAATACAGACATGCTGCAAACAGAGATATCACTCAGTGCTGATGGGCAGAAACAGACAGTTAAGGACAGCGCAGCCTCTAGACAGACACATACTAAGACAGATGGAGTGTAGGTAGACAGGGAGGCTAGAAGACAGGGCAAAAAAAAGAGAAAAAACAAAAATCGAGTATCAGGCAGACATACACGCAAACAGATGGGTAGACAGGCAGGCCAGCAGACAGACAGAGGCAGGGAGGCTCGCCCACGCAGATAATGAAATGCATCCACACAGAAATAATTTCTGAACGTGAGGGTGTATGTGTGCATTCTAGTCTGCCAGAACATATTGAAGTACAGTCAGACACAGTTGAGCGGAGATAGAGAGGAATTTTCGCCAGAACCCTTATTTCCTGGAACCAACCTAAGGCTGACACTTCCCAGAACCTCCTGCTTTTATAGAATAATCCCCTTTTATTTATGTACCCCTATTGAAAACAACAAGAAATTTTCTGGCAGCGTTTTAATAAACACATTGCCTAGACCACCCTGTATGTCATAACGTAAAATTCAGCTTAAAGGCCTCTTGTTGTTTTGAGATCCGTTTATAAAAAGTGGAATTCCACTTCATATTTTATGATCTCTGAAATGCGAGGTTCTCTTTAAATCCTTTGGAATTAAAATTTTTAGAAAAGAAATCTGTTAATATTCATCACTGCTGAATGACAAAGCTCTGGGTAGGATAAATGCATGATGAATTTAAATGGATCCCTCAAAGGCTGATTAGAAAACTCTTATACTTCTTAAGTCTCCTTCTGTTGAGAGCAGCACTACAGAGGATTCTCAAGGCCATCTCAATTTTTAACTTAGGCCATCAGAAAATACCATGTGTTGTTGAGGACAAAGGTGCTCTTATAGTAGTGCGCTCTTGTGAATTTCAGCCCGTGAAGAAATAATAAAAACTAAATGATAACAACTGTTACACACTAAGGTGCAAAGCCTTTTTCTTTTGCTTCTATGGAGCCACAATTTCTTTTCATTTTTCAAAGTGATCTCAAGCAATAGTTCTTCACATTTTTTTGAAGGTCTTTCAGTGTTTTTCTTTGGGCATTGGCTGCTTTTACGCTCAGTTTCACTGCAGTCCTTGTGCCTGACCATTTTCAGGGAAATGTTTGGGTTTCTTTTTGGTTGTCAAGCCACTTAAACACTGACCTATTATTCATTCATGTGTAGAAAATTACACCTAACATTAAGAGATAAACCTGTGCAAAGAACCAACACATTATTTACAAAAGTGGAAAAGACAACACATATATTTGCACGAACAAGGTGATTCCAAAAGAACAATTAGCCAAAAACGTGCCATATCTCGGAACGGTGTATAGAGTTTCGTTAAAAAGCCTGAGCGAACTGGGTAAGTAGAGTACAGGACTGTCACAGTCCTCTATTTCATCTGACCCTTCAGTTGATCCATCTACTGAAGCCTCATCAGAATTGCTCTCTGTGGAAGGGGAGCTATCAAGGAGCCATTCTTGAGGAAGGGAAACAGGGAGAAAATGCTTAGGTATGCTAAATTACTGGACTGAAAATCAGTGCCAATAGGTCTTTTGGAGTAATGGATCCAAATTAGAAATTTGGACAACAGCGAGTGTATATAGCCATTTATAATACATGATTGAAGCTCTGACATGTGGCTGTATTTCAGCCAGTGGGGTTTGGGATCTTGCCAAAATTTTATGTAATTTTTCAACACTGCAAAGTACTATCAGATAATGAACCACCATGCAATACTATCTGGAAAGCGTCTGATTGGCAACAGTTTAAATTTTCAAGCATGATAATGATCCCAAACACACTGCCAGTGTAGTAAAAACATACCTGGAGAGTAGAAACACACAGTAGAACACTATCAGTCATGGACTGGCATTCCCAGAATACCGACTTGAACATTATTGAAGCAGTGTGGAATCATCTTTATAGAGAAGAGAACAAAAGGAAGCCAACATCCAAAGAAGAGCTTTGAATATCCTTCAAGAAGCCTGGAGACCTATTCCAGAAGACTACTTAAAGAAATTACAAGAAAGCCTGCCTAAAGGTGTTCAGGCTGTGTTTCAGAATAAAGGTGGCCATAACAAATACTGAGCTTTGTGCCAACTCTTTTTTTTGACTTATGTACTGATTTTCCATATATTTCGGCACCCATTTCCCATTGTAGCATTAAGCCTCAAAACATTTGCACTTTTCCATCCATCCATTCTCTTCCTTTTATCCTTTTCAGGGTTGTGGGGGTGCTGGAGGCTATTCCAGCTGTCTTAGGGCGAGAGGCAGGGTACATCCAGTACAGGTCGTCAGTCTGTCACAGGGCTAACATATAGACACACACAACTATTCGCACTCACATTCACACAGGGCAATTTAGGGTTTTCAATTATACTAACTCCATGTCTTTGGACTGTGGGAGGAAACCAGAGTATCTGGAGAGAACCCACGCACGAAGAATGCACTATATTTGTCATGTATTGCATAGCATGTTAATAGATGTTTGTCTGCTTTTTATAAATATTCTTTTTGTGACTGTGGTGAAAAGCAGGTTCCTAAAGAAAGACAGCAGATTATGTCTTTTTGCTATACCATCCATCACGTGTTACCTGTATGGCGAGGGCCCGTGTTACTACTGCTCTGAGGTACTGCATTGGCTCCTCTGGTCCCTCCCATTTATTCTGCCATGTTAAAGGACACTGAGACAAGAGGAAACAAGCACAGAGAATAAAGGTCAATGCAAGCAATAATAAAAGCAAAAATCACAAAAATGAGTATAAGCAAAAGAGTGATGTAAACCATGTTTTTTAAAAAACAAAACAAACAAAAACAAAACAGGGGTACTCTGCAGGTTTACTCTGCCACTATGTGAACCTGCCTCTATTTCCTTCTCCTAACCATGCTGGCAGCCAAGCCACAGTTAATCTGCAGGAGGACTGCAGCAACATCAGCCCCTGTCGAGTTGCCTTGACACGATTCAAAATACAAATTTAACAATATGTGTAAGTCACTGAAGGGCACGCTGCGCCCAGCTACATCCTCACTGTGGTCCAGCTAAAATGCAATCTATATTTAAGTTTCTGTGATGTCACTGGTGACATGCCCTCAATTTCCTCAATCCTCAATTTCTGTCATGACATGCAAAAAAGTTACAGCTGGGTGATACTGAGATAAATCTCAGGCACTATTTTATATATTGTAAAAATACTGAATATATTTGTGACTTGTTACAATGCTAACTTAAACTTTACAAGTGAAAAATACTCTTGTGTTCATAAACAGTACTGTTTGTCTGTCTCCTGATGTAAGTAACTGTTGCAGATCCACAGACAGTCTTGTCTGTGCAGCAATATCTGTAATGTCTTAATTTGGAAGTCACAGACAAATGTAAAATGTTTGCAGGGTTGGGAAAGGAAAGCTTTCTCAAGAGAAGAATGTTAACTCCTGAACACGTTAGGCCGTGTATGTTTCCGTTAAACAGAGATCAAAGATTTGACGCACACACACATGCACAAACATGCACAGCAGGCGGCTGAGAATTGAGAATTTGGTGGTATTTAGGCATGAAAGCCATAATGGAAATAAAAGAGACTTTGCATGTCTCTCAGCTGCAAGTCAACCATTCACTCACTCACTCTCCTGCTGCGGGGATGGGTGTGTGTATGTATGTGTGTGTGTTGCACTGAAGTGTCTTAGGAGGAAAAACATGCTGGTTTAAGTTAAGTCACTGCCATTTGTAGGGTACAAATAAGTGTAAAATGCTGTTTTAATTATTATTTTTTAACAAGATAAGGGTGGCAGAAAACAGAGACACAAACCAAATGTATACAGGAGTGCAATCAATATACACCAATCAGACATAACATCATAACCACCTACCTAATATTGTATTGGCACCCCTTTCACTCAATTGAATCCTGGATGCTCAATTGATTGAAATCTGGGGAATTCAGAGGCCAAGTCTGCACCTCATACTTGTTGTTGTGCTCTTCAAACCATTCCTGATCCATTTTTGCTTTGTGGCATGCCACATTATCCTGCTGAAAGAGGCCACAGCCATCAGGGATTACCTGATATGTTAATGAAAGTGTGTACAATGTCTGCAACAATGCTTAGGTAGGTGGCAGGAGCCAAGATTTCCTACCAGAACATTGCCCAAAGCAGCAAACTGCCTCTGCTGGCTTTCCTTTTTTCTGCATCCTGGTGCCTCCTCCCCAAGCGAGCAGTGAACACACACCCGGGTCATGCACATGATATGCATCAGACCAGGCCAACTTCTTCCGTTTCTCCATGGTCTAGTTCTGATACTTATGTGCCATTGCTGGGGCTTTCAGCAGTGGATATGGGTCAGCATAAGCACCCCGACAGATTTATCCCGCTCACTAACAGGTGCCATAATGAAGAGAAAATCTGTCTTAATCACGTCACCTGTAAGTGGTCTGATAAGTGGCCTGATCGATGTATGTGTTGATAATATGTTGAATAACTACTTTTTGGTTACAAACCCAAGCTACTATGATGATGATTAGTATTGGCCTGCGAATTACTACAAGTGGTACTGAAAATCTAACTGATACCAGAGATTACTTCACCTTTAATCAAAAAGCCATTTCCTCATCGGTCACCATGTCCTGATAATCATGCTCTTTCTACCAAATGAAGGTAGGGGTAACACTTTTTCTGTCTTGCAGCACTGCTTATGACTCTCATACAACCCAAGCCCCCCATCAGAAAGTAGGTAGTTTAGGTTCTTTCCAATCATGTAATTATTTTTTACTGCACAGCTGAGAGAAAGGGCAGCAGAGCTGATCCCCTCAGAACTGTGTCTGCTACACTTTTACATTATCACAACCATAAATGGAGCATTTTTCAAATGCATAAATCGCATCATCAGCTCATTCTAACCTTCTCTGATTTAAATGGGGTTAATTAGTAACAGTCGGTTATAATAGAAGCCCAAATGCAAAATGGCATTAATCCATGTGATCTGCTCATTGTATGCAACAGTATTTCCTGTAAAGACTCCAATCTAATTCATATTCTGTTTTGTTATAAAAGACACTAAATGCTCACTTAACTGTGTATCTGTATGTAATTAGGATTTTTTCCAGCAATATTTAAAAAATTTAATGTGTAATACAAATTCAAGGCCTTACCTTAAGAAGCACCCGCTTTTATTTTACCAGTGCTATATCTGATCTCATATTTTAATTTTCTGCTTGTGTAAAAATGCTTCTGTTTGGTTCAATTTTCAGTGACATTTGTAGTAGTAGTAGTGCCCAGTCGCAACATAAGAACTTTAACAAAAAGAAAAGAAAAACAAACAAACAACCCCCCCCCCCCCCCCCAAAACAGTGATTTTCTCAGCACCAAACCTGGCCACAGTGAGACAGAAAAACTCCTCAGTCAGGCACATGGAGGACAGCCAACTGCCTTGAACTTTTGGTGTGAGGGAAGAATATCATTGTCTGTTTAGTTTGCCCCCCTGGAAACCTTGGCTTTATATAGTCATAAATAACTGAAGCTGTACATACGTAATTACTTACTGCTTGGACAGCGATAAAGTTTCTTTAAATTACTGAGGTTAAATATAATGTTAGAACCAAATATTATAGTCACGTACTGTAGCATTGCAGGGAGAATCGCATTTAGGCCAATTCACTCAGGGGCTTCTTGTCAGTGATGTAAAAATACTGCCAGCTAGGGTCACAGAAGTCATCAGGTGTTTGTTAAAAAATTTAGCTGCCAGTAAATTCGATGTATGCCGAGAATTTTGTGTTTCTGCAAAATGTGCAGCAGGAAACATAACAGCTGCTGCTGCTTTTTCTATGGTTCAACAACCTTTTTATACTCTAGGCAATATCTTTTTTGGCAAAACTCTGATTTAGTTGTCAAGAAATGCTCCCTCTCTGGGAGAAGCTTCACATCAGAGAGCTTCAAACAATATTGTGGGTCAAAATGAATGATCTTTTTTTAATATAAAAAAAGAAAAAAGCTATGATAAAAAATTATGACACTGAAAAAATTCTCCTGATCTATACAGCTAACAAAATGCATTTCTGTCTTTAACAAACAAGTAAAACACAGTATCTTGATTATGCATATTACAGAAATTAAATCTTTAGACAGGCCATAAAGGAAAAGGCTCAGAATAGGCTGAACAGAACTCTTATAAAACTTGTATAAAAACTGTGATTGCATCTGTTTCATATACAGCACTGAGGAGTTACATAGGTCAGTTAAAATGGACGACAAGGTATGATCTTTTAGGAAAACAATGTACATAATGTTAAAGGTTAAACACTTAAAAGTGGAAATCAGACTTTAAAAAAAAAAAGTTTTTATTTAGACCATAGTGTGCTAAAAGCTGATGGACAGTGTTTTGGGGTTTTTTGTGATACAGAATTATAATTGAGATATAAATTAGATGTATATTAGAGATATAATTATAAATTATAAAACAAATGGCTTTGTTTTATTTTATACATTTGTACAGTTCCCATTGATAACTGACTTAATTGTAATTACATATATTTTTAAACCACTAACATATTTTATTATTTGGAAATTCGGAATAGATTTTAAATATCAGAACATGATAAAAAGTCCAGTCTTTAGTAGGTCTTATAAGGTACACATAACCTGAGATGAACTACAAAGCATTACACATTACACAGTGACATTTATTAAAACAAACAAACTACCCAAAATGTAGAAGACGTGTGGAAAACGAAGTAGACCCTTCTTGTTTCAATAGCAATTAAGAGGGTAAGTACCAGCAAGGTGGTAATAAACCAATGCAGAGTGGTCATCAGCAAGTACGAACATCTCTATAAAAGCAAAGGTTCTGGCAGTTTGCTGGTCTGGAGCATGTTAAAAGAAGCTTTTGTTGTTGCCCATCAATCTAGGAAGATCTATTGATAAAGTCTATCTATTGATAAAGATTATTCACAAGTGGAAAACATTCAAAATTGCTGCCAATCTTCCCATCAGTGAACATCTCAGCAACTTCCCCCAAAAATCACACCGTGCAATGCTCAGAGAAACTGCAAAAGGGTTGGATCATAGATTCTATAGGTTTCAGAATATTATCTGTTGTTCTTTGAATAAATGAGACCAAAGTCGAGATGTTTGGCCATAATTTTGTTTGGAGAAAATCATACACAATATATCGGCACAAACACTAACTGTCAAGAATGGTGACAGAAGGGCGATAATTTTGGCTTGTTCTGAAGCCACAGGACCTGTGCATATTGAAGTCATTGAGTTGACAGTCAAATCCTTTGTATACGAGTCAAATATGATACCGTCTGTCTGACAGCTTAAGCTTGGCCAAATTGAGTCCTGAAACAGGTCAGTGATCCCAACCGCAGCAGCAAACAGCAGCGGTCTGAGTCAAACTCCAAACCACAACAGGAAAGAAACACGTAAATCCCCGCAAATGTCAATGAACTGAAGCAACATCATAAAGAAGCATGTGCCAAGATATCTCCACAATGATGTGAAATACTGATACCGTCAGCTAAAAGTGGTTCTTTGGGCTACTGGCTCACTGGGTGTTACTTGTCTTACACACACCGTTTCTAATTTTTGGCATAATTTTTGTTAAACAAACAATGACACAATGAAATATGTTGCGAGCTGTTGTTTATCTGAAATTGCATTTTCCTAATTTGCCTGGTAAGAACCACATGATTTTTATTATGTCCTGATAATATAAAAACCTTAGAATAGACAGAGGGTGCACTTTACTTTTACCATAACTGCATATTAAAAGAAGAAGCTAGTAAGATAGAGAAAATGTAAGGAAATCAAAGATTGGAAAATGTGACAGATAAAGACTGGAGCTGGTCGAGAGGGCAACGGAGATACGACTAAAAAAAACTGCTGATTAATACAAAAAGAGAGAGAAGGCAAGCAGCGAAACAGGAATTATGCCCAAGGCTTCTCTCTGGAGATTACACATAGAAGGAGTGAAAGGTTGGATGTGTCTCTTCTTCTCTACCTCATAATATCCCCTTTGTCCCCAACTCAGCCTGAGGACATACAAGGATACATATTGTGTTTGCTACATGTCTACATGTCAGCTCTGTATACTGTGTATGGGCCTGTCCCTGTGGCCTTCATTTCACCACAGAATAAAAAGAATTGCAGTCCCCCTCTAAAACAATATGGTAAAAAGAAAGCTTTACTTTACATTGTCACTGTCACTGAAGACAGAGCTAACTGTGTATTTTATGGTAAGAGTTAGAAACCTTCAGCAGCATTGTAGAAAGATTTAAGATAAATGTGAGTTAAAAGATGCATTGCATACAGCATTTGGGACTCTGTGTGCATTTGTAATACTATCAGGGTAAGGCCTTCCATTTTATTTTCAATTGTATTCCACATTTATTGCACTAAGCCCCATTTAATAAATCATCATGAGAAACATTAAAAAAAACTCTAGATAACACATGTACTCAAAAGCATAAAATAGCGCATAGAGTGTTAGGGTTGAGTTTCTCTGTCTTTTGCCTGTCTTACCTCTTGATTTAGTAGGGCAGTGGCCAGTTTCTGGACTTCTGGAGTTAATAGTTGAGTCCCTCGGATGACCTTGCTCAGTGCGGCCAGGGACTGGTGTATACTCTGTGATGACACTTACAGTTTACATACAGTACATACTGTGCAAAAAAATACAATCATTAAAGTCATCAAACTCATTAAAGATATATGCTGTACACTCAAGCCCCAAAATACCATGACATTCATTCACATGATCCTGACCACAACTGTATGTTTCATAATGAGGCAAATGGCTATTGGATGCAGGTAGTGATCAAGCCTGCTTCCACTGATTGCCTTGGTTCATTTAACCCCCCCCAACAAACAGATAACTGTGAGTGTCTAGAAATGAATAAAACTATTCCATGAGATAAGTAACATACTTAAACAATCAATGAAGGGAAATTAGCTTATGCATCTCCATGGCTTTTAATCTTAATCAGTTTTTTCAGAAGAAACAAAGCAAGCTTTATTTACATACAAGTCTCAGTCTTTTACTCCATGTTGAATTAAACACGGTGAGTACCACTACCTAACCCCCCCCCCAAAAAAAAAAAAAAAGTATTCGGATACTGTAATTATGTGGTAGCCCATTTTGAATGTAGCTATCATTTCTAATGTTTTTACCCACCTGGACCAAGCGGATGGCATTGAACTGTTCCAGAGAAATGAATGAAAGGACTGGTGATTTCTGACTCTCTGTAGGTGGGTCCACCTTCTGGTGGATTAGTGTAGAGCCCTGATAGATGAGAGACATGAGAGAAACTATGAGAGAGCTATAGCTATTTGAGTCTACTTGTTCCAATACAGAAATGATCACTGTACATCAATGTGAAGTTGTTCAACGTGATCACCTTCATCCTATGAAAAAATATTTCTCTGACGAGTGCTCTCTTTCAAGATTACAATGCTCTCATCTGTAGTTAACTGTATATAAATTGCACTGACGTGAAATGACAGTGCTCTGTACCACAATCATCGAAACAGAATGAGGGGATGGTTCCACCCAGTAGAGTTCATAAGACTTTCTGAGGGGCTTTTAATGTGTTCTAGTTCAGTGTATGGAACTTAATGTTGATTTCTCATTTCATTTGCAACATGTATTGTCTACATAATACTCAGAGTAAGATGTATGTTCACTTTAGGAACTCCTGCTACATTAGCATGCTATCTTTCCCCCCTTATACAGTACAATGGTAAAATATTATCTATGGATTTCCATATGGATCATTGTATATATGCATATACTAAATTCCTACAGTAACATTATATTACTAAACAGAATTTCTTTTCTTGCTCCACACAGTGCAAACACAGGGGTGGAGGTTGAGCACTTGTTTACATTAGATAAACACTTTGTGTTCTGTATACAAAGTATACCATACAGTATACAAATAGGTTACAAAAAATATACAAATAAAAAATAGAAAAGCTTGGATTTTGTTGTAATCTATTAGAACCATCACACTCTATACCTGGATTCTATTTTGCTTTCCTTGCAACAACTCAGTTAGAGAAAGAGGCAAAAAAAGAGAGGAAGAGAAGGATAGCAGGACCAAGGGATGAAGACAGACAATGAAGAAAAAAGCTGGTTGGACGGGATTCAGATTGACTAGAGCTCAGCTATTGTTTCCATTTAAAAATGTAACTAAAAAGCCAAACAAACAGTCTCTGCTGTATCATGCTCTGCCCATGTCTTTCCAGACTACATAATGATTTGCCAAAAATAAATGTGTCTGTACATTTCCACACACACGCACACCTCTCACATATTTTCCACAAACCATAAAGGTTTGCACACACAACCAATGCACACGTGCAAGTACGTGCATTTAAATGGCACACTGGGAAGTTCAGATCCACTGAGGGTCAAACAACAAGGTTGGTTGATGACAAAGGGATAGTTAATTGAAAGCAGCCAGAGGTTGATTGTGATCTATGGAAAGCTTGCTGGTGACATAATGGCAACAATTAACACAGTTAACCATTTTCCTTTCAGTAAGTACAAAACAACTCCATCTACAAGAGACTGAAAGAGCAAGAAGAGAGACAGAAAGAGAGGAGACATAAGTGTAAATGAGAGAGAAGGAGACAGTAAGCATGTGTGCTTGACAGCATGAGAGGCAGAGAGAGGAGACTGATACACGGTGACTAAATTGTTAAAGGTGGAGGCAGATGTCCTTTTAATTTGAAAACGTGCCAGTCTCCAAGCAACTGCACACAGCAGTACGTCTTGGCCAAGCAAGCCACTGTGTGTGACAGCCTTTGACAGCACTAGTAATATCCGATTACTTCCCACAACTTTTAATTAGGTGTCACGACCCTTGTTGTCTGTTGGTTTTGTTAAGTCCCTTTGTGTTCCTAGTTTTTCCATTACCCCCCTGCCTTCTGTATTCCCTGTCCCCTGTCTTCATGTTTAATGTTAGTCTTCATGCTTCAGTTATTTTAATTGTCTTTGTGGTAATGCTGTTTTACTTGGAAGGTTAATTGTCTCACCGTGGCTTTACTTCCTGCTTTTGGGTCTTTCCCTCTGCTGTGACCCTCATGTTGACCTGTGTTTGATTGTATTCAAATGTGAACAGTCTGCCCTGTCTGTGCATATAGCCTTGCCTCTCCCTTTCTCCATTTGCTTCCTGTATATCTACGTATTGTTCTTTTTTGTTGCCAACTGGACTGTGTGTTTCTCCAATTTTTGATCATTCAATAGTTTTCCTTTTTTTATTTAATTTGCCTCAGAGTCATGCACTTTGGACCTCCACCCATTTCTGATATTACAACTAGTTGTTGTTGATGTGCAGTGACAGTAGAAATGCTGCAGTATTAGTACGGTTTGACTTTTTAAAGTTAACTAAATCAAGGCAAATGAAGTCCTTTAAAGCTACAGATGCAGCTTTCCAATTTGGTTTGCAGGAAAAGGGCAACAAAAAGTAATGGGTCAATAAAAAGTCAATATGAAATGGTAAAGACAGCTAACCTGGTTGAGTTTCTTCCATAAGTTCAGGATAGGTGACAGTCCATTTGACCAGAGCTCCCTGTCAAACTTTGAACCTGTTGCAACTGAGCGACTCAGGATGCGCAGTTGAGAAATTACCTGTAAACAATTAAAACACAAAGAGTCAGTGGTATGCTGCATGTGCTCCTGTAAGAATAAACGGCCTATTTTTTTAAAACACCACCCATATAATTTGAAGTAGGCACATGAATTTTGACTCCCATATGTAAAACCCAAAACACTGTTTCAGGCCCTGTAATGTTGAAAAAAAGAAGAAGAAAAGAGAACCATAAACACGCCTCCTTACATACCTAATCAGCCAAGCTTAGCTTCAGGATTAGAATCTTGGACAGTACTTTTATCTAGACTCAGTGTGTCTGTGTGTGTGTTTTGTGATAGTGCAAGTTTCCACTTATGTCTGCGTTACAAGTAAAGCAGCTTGTCTGATAAATGACTTTCATTTGGTCCAGGAGAACTCTTTACTAACATTTGTTTTATCTTCTCTGCTCAGGAGGAAAACGGTATATATGTGCATTTGCACACATGTCTGTTCGAGTACATCAAAGAGGGAGATGAAGGTAGGATTAAAAAAATCCTAATCTAAAATTGAATTGACAGCAATATGAAGGAGGTTGATATCAAATATAAGGTGATTCAAATAGTAATTTAAATATATTAAGATAACCAAGATTTTAATAAGCTGAAATTTCTGCTATAATTGTCTGGGGATAAAAAGTTACTGGACATTATACAACTTCATGCAGTCAATTTACTCAGTTTTTCACATTATTTCAGTATAACAGTATTCTAGTTTAGGGTTGTTAATAAGTCAAGCTGATTGATAAATTGAGCATAACAGAGTGAAAATCACAGATGCCACAGAAGGCACAGATGTCATTATATCTAAATATATAATCAGAAATGAACAGAAGCAGTATACGAGAGAGCTTCTATGTGTATATGCAAGATTTGGAGAAATAAATCTCTCTGCATTTAATGTCTTTTTTTTCTGTTATTGTAGTTGTAATGGCACAATGATACATTTTCACATGCTAGTTTTATCCAAAGTGCTTATCTTTGACATTGTGCATAAAAACTATGAATGCAGGAAATCATACCTCAAGCCTTTTGTAAAGACATTTCAAACCCGTGTCAGGTAATTGGTAAGATTAGACATTTATATTTAATGGTTTCCACAAAATCTGCAGACTTTTCCCCAGGACCTCTTTAGTGTATGTGGTTAACAGCAGAACTCAAATACAGTGAGAGTAAAGAAGGGACACATTTTGGGGAAAAGGGAGAGAAAAAGAGAGAAGATGAAAGTGACAATGACAAATGACACCAGGATGGGAGACAATGACATATGGGGGAGATAGGTAGAGAAAGAGACACAGTAACAGACTCACATAAGTGGTCTTGTGGGAGTCGTATGAATTAAACTAGGTTGGTGGTTCCAGTGATCAGCAGACCACGCTATGAGTGAATTTAATTGTATTAAAACCCACATGGGGATTGTCCTTACAATCTGTAAAGGTTGCGTGTGGTTGAACTGAGGATAATTACAATCAGAAGACACAAAAAAAGGAGCAGCAGCTACTTTCAGCTGTTCACTTATTCACAAGGTTTCGCCACAGTGGGAAGTTCCACATGTTTGATTTGACAGTTGTTGTTTTTTTTCTTTTAAATGCTGGATGTCCTTACTCATCCGAGTCCAGAAGGATTTGGGTCATCTCCTGGAATGAATGGATCTTTTGCTTGTAAACTCCGACAGTGTGGAATCACTTAAAATCACAAGATATGCAAAGTGTAAAAATCTTCTGAGAAATCAGTATCTGTATCAGTAGAGATCTTCAATGCAAACCACCAGCGACCACAGAATTACGCTATTGGTCAAAGCAATTATGAGGAGAACTTTGGTGCAGCAAATCTCTCCTAGTGACAGCCAGCAACCAGTCGCCAACTGGTCAGGGAATAGACATTTGTCCCTAATGCAATGTTGATTATCTCCGGACCTGTGTGACTGAGACTCTATCTGATGTAAATGTGGCCAATCTCACATTGAAGGTCATCATCTCAGACACTGACCTAAAATCTTCAGTATTTTCAGTGGACTCTAAGGGGCACAAGATAAGATCATCTGAATGTTCTCCTTCAGACTCCTCAGGACGATACAGTAGATCTTTACACTGACAGTCTCATCCTGGGGGTCAACTGAATGCTGCCTTTGAGCTTGGAAACTGCAAAATCTTCAACAGAAAACCGCTTGGTCACAGTCAGTGACGATCCTTCACATGAAATTTGGGTCAGTTTTAACAAGAAGATGATGCTAGCTCTAAGTTTGATGTCAGTGGTAAAATCACAGAGGGCATAAAGCAGGAAGTGGCAGTAGCAATCTAAAAATAGCTGAAAGCTCTCTGGATATGTCCCAGAACATGATCTTGAATGTAGGATGAGCAAGATTTTAAAAAGATCATACCTTGTACAAACAGAAAAACGCAGCAAAACGAGCTCATTGTAATGTCATCGCAATGTCATGTATTCCATTTTCATTTCATTCTTGCTTTGGTTCTATCAGCATGTTTCTTACGAAAACAATGATTTGATTCTTTAAAATAAATGAACCCTTATATGTGCTCATGTTTTGGTTACTCATTCAATTTACACTAAAGCATCTTTATTTTCAAAAATGAATTCTTAACAAGGATACCAGGCTTGAATGGAAAACAATGGAAAAACATATACATGTTCTTTTCTGCACAAACGACAATGATAACAAACATACTATTGTATAAAAAAAACTCTTTCTCTAGTGCATGCAACAAGCAAGGTTTAATTGTGGTGTGTGTGTCACATTTATACTATTTCATCTTTCCTTTAGGGTTAAAAAGATCTTGGATTTTGCTTCCTCTTATAGATTTTGTAGCATCTGGCCAAAGTCCAGGCCAGTTCCTCAAAGACAACTGGCTCTTATGCAGCTTCCTTCACATGTATTATAGGTCAACCTTTCTACCATTTCGACATTTGCACAATATCACAAGTGGCAGAATCAAATCAAAACATATTTTTCTGCTTCACAGAAAATCTGTAAAAGAATAAAAATCAATAAGTCTCAGCCTGAAAAAATAATTACCTGAATGTGTAAAGTAAACACCAAAGACAGGTTCTATCCAAACACTACACACAGATTCATATATTACATAGACTGTATAGTTTGTATTATTAGATGTGAATATTGCAAAATTCAAATGATATGTTCACAGTCAGTGAACAATGCAGCCATGCAACCTTCAGTCTATATCCTGCTTCTGTCTTTTAAGATTTTCATCTCCCTCAAACTCACACTAACACACACACACTGAAATAAAACATATTGTGTGTTTATGTGAGACTGTGTTACACTGTATTACATCAGAATCTGCAGTGACCATAAACCATTAAACACATTCACACATACACACCAGGGTTTTCCATCCTCTATAAAGGAAGAAAGTACTTGGCAGATTCAACTTACTATGCAGATTTTGCTCAAAGCTCCATAGGCTGAAAAACACCAACATCCATTTTAATCAGCTACAATCATCTATACAAACTGTCAGACTCAATATCTGTGAAGTAGTGGTAAATGTATTTACGGCTGAAATGTTATTAGAAACCCTCAAGTTGCTTCGGTTTATTGTCGTAAATGAACAAAACAGATTGAGTACAGCTTTTGCAGAGTTTGCTTATATAGCTCAACGCAAGAGCTAACACAGATACACATCAATCTTATCTGATGCAAAATATATGAAATATTGCCATACACTTGTTCGGATGATAAACGTCAACTTTCTGATGTTATCAAATGTTCCTTAAAATGATAACTACATGCAAAAATCATCATATTGTGAAAAATGTTATTTTGAGATTTGCATGAGACATGATATTGAAATGAATGAAATTATGGTTTACAAAATTAGGAAAAAAATATTATCAATGTTATTATTTATGCAATTAGTTTATATAAGAAAAATATTTTATTAATTATAAGTCATATTAATATGGTATCAAAACTAAACAGATGGTTCATAGTTGACTTTATCACTGCCATACCACCAACAAACGCATACATTCTTTAAACTGAATTATAAAGTATCATAAATACAAGTTTCAACTTTATAATATCCAGGGTTCATTTATCCATCCATCCATCTTCATCCGCTTTATCCGAGGCCGGGTCGCGGGGGCAGCAGCCTAAGCAAAGAGGCCCAGACCTCCCTCTCCCCAGCCACCTCCTCCAGCTTATCCGGGGGAACACCAAGGCGTTCCCAGGCCAGCCGAGAGATATAATCTCTCCAGCGTGTCCTGGGTCTGCCCCGGGGCCTCCTCCCGGTGGGACATGCCGGAACACCTCACCCAGGAGGCGCCCAGGGGGCATCCTTGTCAGATGCCCGAACCACCTCAGCTGGCTCCTTTCGATGTGGAGCAGCAGCTGCTCTACTCTGAGCCCCTCCCGGATGGCCAACTTCTCACCCTATCTCTAAGGGAGAGGCCAGCCACCCTTCGGAGGAAGCTCATTTCTGCCGCTTGTATCCGCGATCTCGTTCTTTCGGTCACTACCCACAGCTCGTGGCCATAGGTGAGGGTAGGGACGTAGATCGACCGGTAAATTGAGAGCTTCGCTTTTACACTCAGCTCCCTCTTCACCACGACGGACCGGTGCAGCGTCCGCATTACTGCAGCTGCAGCCCCAATCCGTCTGTCGATCTCCGGCTCCCTTCTCCCATCACTCGCGAACAAGACCCCGAGATACTTGAACTCCTCCACTTGGGGCAGGAACTCATCCCCGACCCGGAGTGGGCACTCCACCCTTTTCCGGCTGAGAACCATGGCCTCAGATTTGGAGGTGCTGATCCTCATTCCCGCTGCTTCACACTCGGCTGCGAACCGTTCCAGTGCGAGCTGGAGGCCCTCACCCGATGAAGCCAACAGAACCACATCATCCGCAAAAATCAGAGATGAGATTCTGAGGCCACCAAAGCGAAAGCCCTCCGCCACTTGGCTGCGCCTAGAAATCCTGTCCATAAAAATTATGAACAGAACCGGAGACAAAGGGCAGCCCTGGCGGAGCCCATCACCCACCGGGAACGAGTCCGACTTATTGCCGGCAATGCGAACCAAGCTCTTGCAACGGTTGTATAGGGATCGAATGGCCCGTAGCAATGGGCCAGACACCCCATACTCCCGCAACACCTCCCACAGGACACCCCGAGGGACACGGTCGAATGCCTTCTCCAAGTCCACAAAACACATGTAGACTGGTTGGGCAAACTCCCATGCACCCTCAAGTATCCTCGAGAGGATAAAGAGCTGGTCCAGTGTTCCGCGACCAGGACGAAAACCGCATTGTTCCTCCTGTATCCGAGGTTCGACTAGCGGACGAACTCTCCTTTCCAGCACCCTGGCATAGACTTTCCCAGGGAGGCTGAGGAGTGTGATCCCCCTGTAGTTGGAACACACCCTCCGGTCCCCCTTCTTAAAGATGGGGACCACCACCCCGGTCTGCCAGTCCACAGGTACTGCCCCTGATCTCCACGCAACATTGCAGAGGCGTGTCAACCAGGACAGCCCTACAACGTCCAGAGCCTTCAGGAACTCGGGGCGGACCTCATCAACACCAGGGGCTCTGCCACCAAGGAGTTGTTTAACTGCCTCAGTGACCTCGCCCCCGGAAATTGGCGGGTCATTCCCCTCATCCCCAGACTCTGCTTCCTCCTCGGAAGACGTGTCAGTGGGATTAAGGAGGTCCTCGAAGTATTCCTTCCACCGCCTGACAATTTTCTCAGTCGACGTCAGCAGCGCTCCGCCAGCACTATACACAGTGCAGGTAGAGCACCGCTTTCCCCTCCTGAGACGTCTGACGGTTTGCCAGAATCTCTTCGAGGCAGTCCGAAAGTCTTTTTGGGTTCATTTATTTTAATGTTTAATAAATACTGTGTAATGAATGTATAAACAGTTTTATAAATGTCAGCTACAACTTATAATGACATCCTGATAGTGTTTACAAACTAACTATTAACCAAATATTAAACATTTTTAATTGTCAATGACTTGTTGCCTTGACGAGAACAAAAGTTTTTGTATTTACTGTCAATGTGAAAGTTAGCGCCGTAGTACATTGAGTCTCAAATACCCAGATCCCTCGTCTCCTAGGCCAAAAGCAGACTATGCTTGATAAGTTTTAAATGAGACATCTATGTAATTCTACATGCAACAAACTTTCAACATCCATCCATCCATTCGCTTCCGCTTATCCTTTTCAGGGTCGCGGGGGGTGCTGGAGCCTATCCCAGCTGTCATAGGGCGAGAGGCGGGGTACACCCTGGACAGGTCGCCAGTCTGTCGCAGGGCTAACACATAGGGACAGACAACCATTCGCACTCACATTCACTCGCACATTCAAACCTAGTGGCAATTTGGATTATTCAATTAACCTATCCCCACAAACTTTCAACAACCATAGCTAAATGAGTACTTACAGCTTGCAGGTAGTTACATTACATGAGAGTACGGTATGTGCTTAAGTGTACTGGGCATTTTTTATGAGCATGCGGTACTTTTGAGTCTTTTCTGGAGAATATTCTCATTCGTTGTCATTGTTTTGGAATGTTGCAATAATAATAAACATACATGTGAATAAAGCGAGCATATTTGTCCACCCGAATACTGGGAAAATTCTGTTAAAATACATGTAGAATAGATTAAAACATCTGCTATAATTCACCAGGGCGAACGGGCAATCATATGATTCATGGTGATAAAATATTTAAATCAACTAAAAACCCTAGCCAGTGGGCAAAGGCGGTATTTGTCATTGGATGATTGGAAAACAGACATGAAACAAACGCCCAACAGTTAGCAGTAAGAGAAGGGGTATCTTTAACCAGACTGCCCTGAACTCTATTTTTCCAAACTGTGTTACACCTTCTGCTCAGCTTCTCTGTGGAGAAGGATATATGCTGCAGCAGAATAAAGACCCTAACCTCAAAGCTTTGCACCTTCTGCTTGAAGATCAAAGAGGAGGACTGACTTCAATGATTGTGACTTTTTGACAGTCACCTGACCTCAACTGTACATCTATGGCAGCACTTGAAAAAGTGGAAAAAGCCAAGTATTCCTGACATCACAAGGAGCTCTTTGGAACACTGTCAAATCACGCTGAGATAACATGGCTTATCATGTGGAGTCTACGCCAGCACTGCCAGGATTGCTGCTCCATCCCTCCAGTGGAGTTCCACTGACTTATGGGATCAGTGCCAAGGCGCACTGAAGCTGCTCTGGTGACACATGTTGACCCAACACCTCGCTAAGACAATTTGAGTTGATTTTCTTTTCATTTTTCATCTGTATACATGCAAGACTGATGTGAGCTGCAGGCAATATGAGCACATGTGCTTGTGTGAATAGGCAGACTGCTGTGTGTGGGTGCACCTGGGAGCTGACGATTCTCTGGGAGGATCTCGCTATGTTGGCAGGCAGACCAAAGAATGCTGGCCTGTCATCCTCTGGGAGATTCTCTATTACTCTGCGGTAGTCCTGGGAAGACACGCAGACCCATACAGGTCACACATTGACACACACCCATATAAAGAGAGAGAAAATTAAAGCATTCTGCCAATTTATATCATGGCTTTAAGACAAAATACATTTTTCCATTTCTAAGCAACGATATCAAATTGAAAAGTAAAATCTTGTGGCATGCTTGTTAGATGTCTGTGTGGGTGTATGGGATTAATAATGCAATACTGAGCTCATTAGGGTGTGTTGTTTGTAACAGTTTGATGCAGGTTTTTTAACAACAAATATTTGCCTTGAATAGGGCTTTAAAAGCCTAAATTACTAAACTGATCTCCCTCATCACTCACTGCTAAATGCTAAATTCTAGCAATAGACTGTCAATTCAAATGATAGATTTCTATATTGATTGTTTTTTTAAACAAATGACCTCTCAGTGATTCTGTGGAATGAACTAACTTCTGGAAAAGAAAATATAAACAGAAAGCAGAGCAGCAGAAAAACAGAACCACATAACCACTTACTTGAGAGTTATTGCTGACATTTATTTGTAGTGGCTACTTTATAAACCAAGCGAAAATGAAGCTAACACCAGACAGAAGTTAAACACAAACCCCAGCTAGTGAATCTAATCAACCGTTTTTGCTTCTTTGTCACTGGATGTGGGCTCATGAAGATGTAAACAAACTATATAAACTTTCACCTTAAGCTTAAAGATGCATATATTTCTAATGCACATATATTTCTTAATAATAAGTATATGTACAACTAGGTGTTACATGGTGAGTGTTCCCAAAGACCTACCAATATGGCACAAGAGTTTGGGAGGCTTATCTGAGGTGGAAAGAATACTCCTCTGCTTTTTCTCTGTCCAGCAGAGTGGGAGGATGAAAGGAGATGTGTGGAAAAGAACTGCTCAAGGTAGGAGCGCAAGATGCGGAGGTCAGACGGGTTGTCAATACGTCCCCCATAGATAGCATTCTCCAACAGACCATGGACAAACTCCCACTGAAATTGTTTACCACCTTAGAGATATCGAGACATATAAATACACAAATAAAAAGCAGGGTCCACACAGAAGGTAAATAACACAGAGATGTGAATGCTGAATTGCCCAGGGTATGCTCTTTCATAATTGGTCGTCAAAGAAACACGGTCATAAAAGGCAATCAAAGAAACAAGAGATTATCATGTGCAGACAAAAATGCAGAGCTTTCTGCTGAATTTACACATTTCATCAGCGTCCTACCTTCAAAAAGCCTGTCGATAATCTCAAAGCCAGCACGAAGGTCTGACAAGGAAAACTCATAGAACTTTGTCCAGCCCTGCAGATAAATCAGAGATAAGCGTACAAGTCAGTACAGAAATGACAAATGAAAAGTGACAAAAAACCTCTGGACTTTATTTAGATCCAAAACTCCATCGAAATTTAAAATCCAGATGGAACTGAAAGTACAAAGTTTAATAAGTCGATAAAACACACATTTTCACAGCACTGGCCATTTCTGTAAAAACAAAAACAAACGAAAAAACATTTTTATTTTTTTAATTTGATTACATCACGTCACTTAATCACCTGTTGTAAACTGCCCACTGTAGGTGGATGAGGTGAGAGGTGGAGGAAAACTGTGTGGGCATCTTTCAGTGATTAAGTGTATGTTGTTTGTCCAGCAATTGTGTGCCTGAATGTGCGTTCAAAGACTTTTGTGGGACACGTTTCGCAGGGCCTAATAAATTCGCTTACAGTATAAGTGTCAACATTCACAAGTTTGTAGGCTTTTGTATTAAGAAAATGCTGCTTATTGAGCCACTGTTTAATTTAATGTATGGGTTATATTTGTGCTTACTGACTGTAAGCACTTCAGATGGTGTGCTATAAAATCAGTAATTTACCAGACATAGCTAACCAGTCAGCTTGTTGTCCTTTGGCCAAATGTTAATCATTCATACACACACACACACACACACACACACAGACGCAATTTTACAGATTCCCTTTCATTAGGAATATACACAACCTTGGAAATAGAAGCCTGTCCACTTTGCTTCATTTTAATTCTACTGCCTTTGTCTTTTTAAAAGAAATATTTTTTGCAGTGGCATGTAAAGAGGATGAAAACAAGAGAATAAATGAGATGGGGAAGAAGAACAGTAGATGAAGCAAGAAGAAAATGAGTGATGGTGGAGTGGACAAGAGGCGCTGCGACTGTTTCAGTAATTAGGTGATCATGTTCTTGGATGAGAAACAACATTACCATCTCAAATGAAAACACTTACCAGAGATTCAGTGACTGAGCAAGAAAGAGAATGAGAGAGATAAAAACAGCAAAAAGAGAGACAAGAAAACTGCAGACAGGCTAAAACAAATATCGGGGGCCGGAAAGGAAAATAGATTTTAAATAAAGGGGAATGCTGGCAGACGAGGTATTCTATGATTGGTCCTAAATTTGAGAAATGCATCAAGTACCATATATTGACACATAAATGACATCTTAAATTTGTTGAAGTCTCTTTTTATCTTTATATTTCATTAGAATGTACTCAGATTGCTTAATGTCAAACAAATCAGCACTTCTAAAGTTAAGAAGCTTTTTTTTTAGTTGATTGGTTCATAAGGACACACGAGGAAACAAGGAAAGGTAAGAATCAGCCAAGACTGATTTCCAGTGAATCTCGTTTCGTTAGGATTTGAAAGGAACAAGCATAATAATACACACCTTCGGTTTTTTCTTTTATAATGTTGTACTCAGCTGTACACGTCAAAAGGGTACAAAAGTCACAATGCTGCATTAAGAAAAGAGCAAGAACATGCTTACTTTCTCTCCCCCGCACACCTGAAGCTGTGTGAGGTAGCAGTGAATGTCAGACTGTCACTTTACGAAAGCTACTTTTATGGGTTATTTCTGCATTCATGCAGACATTTTAAACCTTCAACTCTGATTTAATACATGAAATATAAAAACAAGAATTAAATACATTTTTGGAGTTGTTGATTAAAAAATTGTTATTGGTGTTTTTACACACGTTTTAAAGCTGTTTTTGGGATTTTGGCATTTTAAAATTCTAATATCTAAACAAACTCCTTGAGCTAGGTCCTTCAAATATTTTAGGGCACGTGATTGTATGAATATGGACTCTCAGGAGTGTCTCAGGTTAACATATAAAGATGGATGCTTTAAGTCTACAGAATATTTCCATATCCAGTCTCTGACAGCAGATTTGAAGGCCTGTGGAAACCTGATTGTTGTGGGTAGGCTGGGTGGGCAGATTTTTTTATTTTTTTTATTTACAGCTTCTCATAGACGAGGTGCATAACATTAAAAAAACACAGTCAACATCAGGTAAATTATTTAACAGATATTAAAGCTTGATTATGAGATAAAACATTCTTCCATCCATCTTCAGTGTGACATTCCCAGAATGTTTTTACAAAATGCAAGTTTCTCTTAATATCCAAAATTTGGCATGGCATTCTCTCTCATTTTCCTATTTTTGGCCTGAGGCTCTGAAATTTTGTATAATTATCATTAATAAGTGTATCTTTCCTTAAGATCTTTTCAGGCAAATCAGAGATCGTCATTTGGAGGGATTTGATGAAGTGATATGGAATGACCTCAATACATCAATGCCCGAAACTGAGAAAATAAACAGCCAGATTTTATCTATAGAAATGGTGATTACAGAAATTAAACAATAAAATACTGATAAATACCTCTAAGCACTTGCTTTTAAATAACATATCAGATGCCTTTATTCTCATGCCATGGTCATTTTTAACCTAAAAATCTCAAGTTTGGGCATTTGTGCTTTCCAGCCTTTATCTGGATTTCTTTTGGGAGCCTGGATGACCATTTCCAAGAGCACCTCAAAGGACTCAAATCCAGCACGTGTTCCTACTTCAATACTGCTTAAATGCTTTTATATACGTTACACATTCTGAACTCGCATGGACTAAAAAAGCTCTACTTCCACTATGTGCCATGAGTCAAGACAGAGTTGAGACAATTTAATTTCCTTTCGACTGGCTACCAACATCAAAAGTATTCCATACTTCACTGTCTTTTATATTAGAAATAGCACACACATTGCTCTATAAGCAGTATGCATGACAAGCATCAGGTGCCTCACCAGTGTGGGGTTTATTGACCAAACTCAGTGTGTTGGCCAGCAGACTGGGTTACTACAAAGGCTTATATTGGCTGGATGTAAACATTTACACATGCATGGGTACATGCACACAGCCATGCACACACCCACACACACACACACAGAGACTCAGTTTGTATGTTTGCCTAACAGAGCTGTCATGCTTTTTTCTGTTTATTTCTTTTGTTTTTGTAGGTTTTTATTTCATATTAATTTCAGGTTTACAATTTTTAAATGTTCATTCATGTTCAAACCTACATATTCAGCAGGGAATCAGGTAGTTATTTCTCCCACTGTATACTCTTCAATACTACAAACCCACTGAACATGCATTTTGGAATCTAATGTAAAATCCTTGTCCCACAGATGGCATCTCTGTATGTTTTACAATTGATTTCAAGATTTTACTGATTTATTGTGCCCAAGAACTACACAGCAATGATGCTGATTCAATATAAGCTGGTTTGGAGCCTTGGACCCTCAGGTGGGTACCTTCTGGCTGTCCCAAAGTTAAGGATTTAATCTAAAGGTGACCCTTCATCTTTGGAACCACCTGCCTGCAGAGATAAAGCTTGCAGAGTCAGTGACTTGCTTTAAATCCCTTCTTGAAAAACATTTCTACATAAAAATGTGTTCAAAGATTTTTTTATTGCTATGTTGCATTTCTTTTTTTCTCTTTTATAATTTGTAATTGATCTGTTCATGTTTTTTATTATTGCTTTAATAGGTATTAATTATATTAACATATTTCGTATTTCTTGTTGTTTGAAGTCTGTCTTAAATTAACCATCATTTCATGCCTTCCTTGAATACTGGGCTTAATCTTAAACCACTATTTGAAAAAGGTATTTTCCAGATACTGATAGGTCTGGGAATGAATTTGGTCATCCTAAATTTTAGAAACTCATAGCAGCAACCTTTCACCACCCCTTTAATGTGACATCCTTTATCAATCGTTAATCCGGCTACAGGCCTATCTATCAGGTTAATTATATTTTATATAGTTTAGAACCATGTTGACTATTCACAACAAATATTTTTAATTGTCCAGTGTCTGAGTAGGTTCTCAGTCATCCAGGTAATGGTAGTCCTTAAAAGCTTGAAAAAAAGAAGGTAACTCAACTTCTTCAAGTTTGTTTGGATGTTTCAGTTCTCATTCAGTTCTGAACAGAAGAGCCTCTTTAAAGTTGTTTAATCATTTTGTACGCCTTGATTAAATGGGTTAGACACCCTCTCTCATCAGAGGGACAAATCATTTTCAAATGATTTGGAATTTGAAAATGTGCTGTGTGCGTAGTAACAATGACAAGGTTGGAGTACTCACTCACATGACGATTAAGCACTAAGAACTATGATTATGTTAAGTATTTTACCTGTGGGATGTAGTTTCGTCTCTCTTGACAGACGGCATGGAACCAACCCAGACAGAAAAGAGACTGGGCTCTGGCCAGAATACCTCCTGCACACAATCAGTCACGACGTCACAACACAGAAGCTGTGATTCTGGTTCACATGACAAGCTGCTAAAGCTAATAGGCAGTGATATCACAAACAGTGATTATACTAGTGCAAGAACACTTACTTATATTATAATCAAAGAAAGTGAACTGTCATCTTACAAGACAGATTATTTATAATATAAGCATCAGGTCTACTTGTCAGCTATCTCAAAAGGCTGACACATGATGAGTTCAGAGATGTATATTCTACTCTGACGTATCAATTCCAGAGACGAGAGACAACCTTTACTGATCTGCTCTGGAGTCCAGGACTCATATGTCCTCAGCAAATTCTTCTTTAATCCAGGAGGATCCTGGAATTGTGAAAGAAAGATGTTGGAGGAGGAAAAGTGAAAGTGTGAAAGGTGTTAATCCTGCACATTATTCACATGTAAATTCAAAGCTAAAATTGCAAACATAAAAAAACATCCTAAGCTCCAAACACATAAATATTTTGAACAAATGCATTCATACACAAAATACTTATGACCGTAGCAAAAATCTGGCAAAGTATGACAACTGTGAGACACTGAAAAAAAAGTCATAGCAGGAAGGCTGAAAATCCTTTCTGCACTTATTAACTGTAAGGTAAGTTATTTGTAGCCCATCAACTGACTTATTAAAAAAAGGAAGAGCTAAATTAAACATAAAAATAATTCTTTAGTTCGACAGTGTTGAACATATAATTAACCACAGGAAGGACTGGAACAGAAGCTTCTTCTTGACACAGAGTACTTTGGTACTCTTGCAAGAACAGATTAGACTATACACAGAACTACTACATGTGCACATAACTACTGAATATAAATTATATAAATGTTTTGGTATAATTTAGCTGAAGCATCTGCTACATGATCCAACACATATTGTTCCTCTAAACAGTTCTCTGAACATTTCATTCCTCTGCCAACAATATGGCCCATTTGAGTTAAAACCAATCAGTATACATCGACTTTGTTCAAACATAAACAGCTTAGCTGAAGATCTTGTACACCATCTGGGGGGTTTCACAATGCACACTGCCAGTAAGGCGTACACAGAATTTGCCAAAGTTGATCAATGTACTGGATAAGTTACCAAATCAGTAGATTAGATATATTTGTTTAGGTGTAGCACAAATCAACCAGTTAACCCATTTAAATAAATATTACATACATATAGCAGTTTATAGCTTCAGATATTAATGTTAAAACTTATCCTGGAGCCGAGACATTTTGTATTGCAGTAAGCCAGACTGTGATATAATGTGTATAAACACATGTAAACTAACAGATTTTTCCAAGTGTTTGTGAAGAAAAAGAAAAGATGAAAATAGGGAAACAGACAGGAAGTTCATGCAGCATGCTTGGCTGCTGAAGCAGCTAACCCCATGAGCACAACTCGAATCAGAAACACACAGAGCACTAAAGCAGCGTCACTAACACACAAACTGCAGGCTTCTGTATCTCCTGGCGTATTATATGGAGTAGGGGAGATACAGATAGATAAATTCTGTTTCCAAGGATGAGATACTGTATAAAAAGTGGTAATAAGTATAAGGATATGTAAGCATGTGTACAGAATGCCTGCAAAAATGTGTTGGAACAGCTCTAATTTGTGCAGTGGGTTAAAACACCAAACGTATGGTATTGGATGTGTATTTGTGTGCGTGTGTGTATACCTCATAAGTGATCTTAAGGCTGGACTGCAGCAGAATGGGGGGAAATCTGGGGTGAACTTCTGCTGTCAGCCAAAGACGGAAGCCTGCTTTGGGCCGTAGCACATTTAGCTCCTATAGAGGAAAAAGAGTGTGCACATTAAATAGATTAATATATATACCAATAAATCAATGCTGAAATCTGAGTTTTATGACATGCATCCAGCACCACTGCTTCCCAACCCACATATCCGTGCAAATCTTAAATATTTCAAACTATAAACCTTACTCAGTGGTTGACATGATGAAACGAGTGCAAGAGTCTAAAAACGGCACCAAACTCAAGAAATGCGCCAGTGTTGTGTCTATGCAAAAAATAATTTAGCACAGAACCAATGTTAAATTGTATCTTTAGGCACAAAATGTTGTTGAAAAAACTCATTACTTTCAATTTCTTTGGCTGAATATTTGAAAAGTGCCTAAAACACAGTTTGACAGGCATAAAAATTGTATTTTTGTATAAACACTGTGATTCTAAAAGAGCTATTAGCTGAAAACTTGGCATATACCAGCCTGGTGTGCTGTGTGTCATTAAACAGTTTGGTATGGTGTGCCAAGATTAATAAATAAATAAAAAGAGAGGAGTAGAGGACCAGAGAAGTGATGGTTGGCCTAAAGATCTACATCTACAGCACACAGATAGGATCTGAAAGTTATGTCCTTAAGAAATCTGAAAAAAAATAAGCAAAGATCTGACCCAGGAGCTTGGAGATGCATCGTAGCTGGATAGAAAAACACACACTGGTACATTATCACACACGGATTGGCCTCCCAAGAGTTCAGAATTTAAGATTATTGAAGCAGTATGGAATGATCTTGACAGAGCGGAACAACAGGCAGCCAACATCCAAAGAAGAGCTTTGAATGTCCTTCAAGAAGCCTGGAGAACTATTCCTGAAGACTACTTAAAGAAATTACAAGAAAGCCTGCCTAAAATAGTTCAGGTTGTGTTACAAAATAAAGGTGGTCATACCAAATACTGACCTTTTATATTGTATGTTTGCAAATTTCAAGAAATCACTGCACTTATTTTCCTAGCAAAATATAAAGAAATGAGAGGTGCCTCAAGACTTTTGCAAGGTGCTGCATGTAGGGAAATTATACTAATTAAACTAGACTTTTGAGCAGTATACTTCAAGTAAATACATTTCATCCTTTCATGTTTTCCGTCTGTCTTTTTATGTAATTGTTTCTCTTTTAGAATCATTGCACTGTGATAAATTCTCCACAATGACAAACCCATTCACTTCACATTCACTTTTCTTTTTCTTCTTTCAGCATCTTTTTTTCTCCTGACTCCATTACTCTCTCAATTTCTAGCTTTCTTTCTTTCACGTCTCCCCTTTACATTCCTTCCCCATCTCTTTCTATTTTTCTCAAAGACTCATGGTTAAAAATAGCCTGCTGGCACCTTAGGGTCTTGTGTCATCTGATCTCATACAAGCACAGACACACACACACATACAGTCAAACTGTAATCAATGTGTTTCTGCATCATTTAGAGCTCAAGTCATCCTCATGACAGCTCACATGATCCCCAAAAAAATCAAAGACCACAAGAACTGATGTCCCTTGAAGAAATACTTGATGTCCCCCATTGTATGTGGGTGTGTATTGCGTAAGTGTGTCTACGCGTATGTCTGTCTGAAGCGTCGTCAATCAGAATTCCACTGCAACAGATTATAGCGTTGCAGGATGGTGTACGACCAAGAAGAAAACAACGAGGAAAAGAAAATGTGTAGATGTGTGGATAGAAAGCAGGAGCAGGAAGACGCCAGAGAGAGCATAAATCTATTTTAGTATTCACAAATCAAAATCTCTCTTTGTTGGAATATATCCACACTGTCCAGAGTGTGAAAGCCAAACCACTCATGCACAAATAGATAAACTAAATAGGCTCTGAATCAGCACACCAGTGATAAGAATTATCCTTGTAAAGACACAGATATCATATTTCGATCAGTTACTAATTACATCACAGCAGACATTCTGAAACACATCACTGGCGGTATCTGATTTATCATAAAAAGTGTGGATCAAATTTTGCCATTGTTTCCTCATACTGGAATAATACAGACAGAAGCAAATTGATTGCAAGAGTGAGGGAAGGATCCATAAGTAGACAGATGGAGTGACTGATGTAAAAAATGAGACAGAAAATAGCACAAGTGGAAGAATATGAGTAGACAGCAATGAGAGGACATCTGCCCTGCCAACTCAGATTATGAACACTGACCACTCTTCTCTGCAGTCTCTCCACCTCTATTTCCATCTCTTTAAATGGCCAACTGCTTTAGTGAAGAAAGGAAACACCAGAGAGACAGATGGGCAAGAAAAAGAAGCTGGAAAACATAGAGCGGGAGAAACGGTAAGCAAAAGGACGAAGCTACAGAAACTGAAGCGTATACTAAAACACACCCCCTCTCTTGTTAGAATGTTGCGGTTCAGTTCATTTTCCCTGTTTTTTTTCTATTTTCATCCTCAGTTTCTCCATTCTTTCCTACGCTCCTTGCCTCCCTCGTTCCTCACATTGCGTCAGCTTTTCATTTCAAGCTCGAGTGCTGAGGCCCCAACTACATTGGTAGCTGCGCAAAGAGGGAAACAATGAAACAGCGAGAGAAAGGGAGAGACGGAAAGAAAGAGTTATACTTGTAAAATTTAGGGAGGGGTGTGAAAACCTGGTGAGAAGATGGCTGGGGTATAGAGTTGGAAACAAATAGAAAAACAAGCAGATAAATGCAAAGTGAAATATTAGGAGAAGAAGTAGAGGAGAGCTGTAATAAGCCATGGTTTAAGTCACACTCAGGGAGGGGGGCGCAGAGCTGACACGTGGGATCTCTTGGCTATCTCCAAGGCACGCACACAGGCACACATATACAGGTGAGGGCTATGCACAAACAAACACAGACACGGGGGGTAATCACAGCATGAAGTGGTTCCTCTCGATATGGTACTGTTATCATCCTGCACTGTCCCCGTTGGGTTAGGCAGGAGGAGACTCGGATTCCCACTCTTCGGTTTGGTCACCTGTTGCTCGACACTGTTATCAACAACCACTACTTAAGGACAGGCTCCAGCACTCAGAGTCCACCAGGTTGTGTGCCTCTTCAGAGTGGTAATCGGGCTTTTTTATGGCTCCCCAGCATTCTCGCAGATTTTCTAGTGTAATATTCTTGTTTTCCTGCTTTTCAGTACTTCCCCAGTGGCCAAAGAGTGGCTCCCCACTCAGTGCAACTCGCCTGTTTCCATCGAGCAGGTCTGTTCAACTTCACTGAAGAAGTCTATGTCTCAACTCACCTGCCTGCCTGCCCAACCTCCTATAACTAAAACCAATCATTCCCAGACTTACAAATTACTCCTCTCCCAGTGACTAACCTGCTCAGTCTTTTGGATCTCTGCACGATGACATCTTCTCTCCTTGAGTCAATAAACCAGCTAAACTTTGAAACTGTCTGCTTTGGGCTTTGCTTCCCATTATCGCTTTTTTTTTTGCATCTGACAGATGTGGCCTGCTACAGCAACAAAAAAATGAAACTGAACCCCGGGAAAAAATAAAATAAAGAAACAACCAAAAATTTGCAAGACACAAAAGAATCCTATTTATTGTAAGATAAAAGCCCATCTTCCCTGAAATTAAAATATACAAGACATCACAACATGATAATCCACACATACTTAAAGCAAGATCCAAACACATATACACATAGACACACACACGTAAATGTCCAGAGAGACAAATGTAGAAACACAGCGGCATAAACAACACCAAAGAGTCTATTGTGGGCAGGCAGAATAGCAGAATACAAAATGTGTATGTGTAGACAAAGGACAGAAGGTAATTTTAGATATGGAAATTTGGGCAACCAGCAGAATGTGTTCTTGGCTTTGTTTTTGTATGTAGCAGTTTTGTAACATTACAGATAAACACTTACAAGCAGGAGTGAACCCCCCCGCCACCCCCCTCACACACACACACACACACACACACACACACACACACACACACACACACACACACACACACGTTGATGTAATGTAATATCATTTTACATTAATGCAGAGCTAGTTAATAAAGTCCAGCTGTTGACTGACACAAGTTCATATCCATGAATAAATAATCTATTCAGACTAACTGACCCCTTTTCAGGTTCTATTGTTCAACCATTATTAACCCAAAAAATAGTTCAAAATACAAAAAAAAAAACCTCACTCAGACGCATGAACACAGATAAACGCTAACGGCTGATCCTCTGGCACTAACACAGACAAAAACTCACTGAGACAGAGTACTCACTTTTTCCAGGAGGGGAAGCCATGCGGTGACAAGGTGAAGGTTTTTCAGGCAAAGCCAGTCTCCATTTCGGGAGCATTCTCTGAGTGTAGCTAAGGCTACATCAGCCTGCCCCTGACCCATGGAGATCTACACAGAGAGGGAGAGCAGGAGAAGTGGGGGGAGAGATGGAGGGGTGAGAGAGAAACAGAGAAATTGGTATGAAACTTGATTACTACACTGTAATAACTCACAAGTTAGGCACATATCTGATTCAAGTGAGATTATCACTGAGTTTCAGCTTTTAAATTGTGATAATAACCACATTGTATTACTTCAGCTGTGTAAGAGCATCTTTTCTCAGACTTATATGCCAAATAAACATATGTCAACAACTATTTAGCAACAGGACATTTTGTAGCACCTTCTGTTTTCCCCTTTAAGGTGTGTAGTATATTACTAGATTCCAGGCTAGACTAAATTGAATGGGCTAGATTCTATAGTTGTGATCTTGCTGTTATGATAAGAAAAAATCCACCTGCACTTGATAATCTGCTGCGACTTCTACCATTTTATACTGTTATTCGCTACCTCATGATAATTGTCCCTGCCAACAGTTTCGGCTGCTAGTTCTGCGAGCTCCTGGGAAGGGTCTGCCCCTGGAGAGATGATGATCAACACTGGCTCCCATTCCATTGTCTCGGTGTAGAGACGCCGCAGATTCAGAGGAGGGGGTGAGAGCTCTTTCATAGCTGCACAGAGGAGGAAAAAGGGAGTAGGAAGATGACAAAAAGAGTCAGAAAAAGGATCTGTAAAATGTGTGTCAACATTACGTTCAAATTTGATACGGTACTCCGAGTCAGAGTAAGTGGATATATTGTGCAGGGAGGATACTAGCAATGCATAGAGCAAGGGCTGAACACAGCAGGAAAGAAGAAATAGAGGGAAATGCTAGTACATAGCAGCAAAGCGGTATTTGGTGAGGGCAGATGGGTTAGAAGGAGACATAGATGAGATAGACAGGGAGACAGAGAGAAGGAGGGGAAGACAGCACCTAAAGGGGTGGTGATGTGAAGAGAGGTCTGGGGTAAAAAAAAAAAAAAAAGGGAAGGATGAGGGAAAGTGGAAAGAAGGAGGTAATGGAGAAAGGGAGATGGGGAATAAGAGGAAGACACTATGAAAGACAGAGAGAGAAAGTTTAGGAGGGTGATGTGCTATGCATATTGAGTACTAGGTATGCAGCAGAATTCACCACACAGAGAAGAACACCTTTTCAGCCCCCTGGTGTTGAGAAGCCAAGCTCTTACTATATCAGTGTGTGTGTGTGCGTGTGGTGTGCAACCCCTTATTGAGAATACTTAAACTCTAATCCCGCTGTAATATATTGAATCATATATCAGATATGGGTTAATAGTGACACACATGCAACGATCCAGGCACGCCGAGCACGAGTGGCTGTGTTAGAAATTCCTCTGTGATGTTTTTTTGTGCAAGTATCAGCAGATATTGCTTTCAGATACGAGCGTGCGCACACAAACAGACACACACACACGCACAGTGCTGTCTTCTCTGGTTGGCGCAGCTGCCCCATCCTGAACATTCTTTTGGTGTCTGCTGCCAAATGCAATCTGCTGCACTGAAGTACACATGCATGCACATACACAAGGTCTTAGTGGAGAACATCGCCGAGTGACCTTTTGCCGCATCGCTATGGCAACACTAAGAAAAACAGTTCTCCGACCACATGGCTTGTGATGTCTCTCTGCAAAGTAAGGGAGAATTGGCAGAACGTGGGCCTGCACAATTACATACACAACTACCTTTGACGTGCGCAGGTAATCAGTATTCATGCTGCAGACCAGCATCCTCCGTCTGAATAGCAAAGTTCACCTTGGCCTTTACAACATGCTATCAAAAAACAGGGCTAAGATGAGCCTGGAAAAGGACAGTACTGGTCTCTCTGTGGTTCAAACAGTGCTGTTGAGGAAACACTGAGCGACTGTGAAAGAACGGTGCTCACATACAATCCTTGGCATTATGAGCATTCAAGTCTTTCTATAAAAATTTCATTATCTTTCTGTCAAAGTCACTATTTTTGTGAAAGAGGTTTTGTGTGTTTTGAGAAGTTGTATGAGCAAGCACCGAGTCTCTATGTGTGTGTGTCTGTTGTATTCACTCAGGCATGCCTGGGTGTGTGAGAGCAGTGCCCAGGCCTGGACTGGAGGGATTGAGTGAGATTAGCTGTAAGAGGATTACAGACCATGCCTCATTAGCATACTGATTTACTGCCAAAAACACATACACATAGACACAAAATCTTCTTCTCTTCTGTTTCTTTTTCATCTGTCTGTCGCTCAAGCTCTTTCAAATATACATGCACTATTATCCACCTCATCCATTGTACACGCAGTACACTGTTATCAGTGGGTTACTGCGCGTGTAAGGATTGTGCAGATGATCTCTGTATAGTGATTTTTTTTAAAAGTCTACCTATGTATAAAAATAGATACACAGATGTGATACTTGTGTTTGAGAAATAAGCTCAGTCCACAACAGAAAATAACACCACTAAGACAGAGAGATGCATCTCTCTGTCTTAGTGGTGTGTCCGGTCCGGTGTGTGTCCGGTCCGGTGTGTGTATGTATTTTCCATGGAAAATACATACACACACCGGACCCTTTATTAGGTACACTTTGCAAGTATTGCCTTCAGAACTGCCTTAATTATTAATGGCAAAGATTTAACAACATTCTTTTGAGAATTTGGTCACATAGTTGCTGTAGATTTGCCAGCTGCTCATCCATGATGAGAATCTGCCGTTCCACTACATTTCAAAGAAAGCAGTTTGAGATTATTTGAGCTGTTGAAAGAAACCATCAGAAGATGGGAACAATGTGGTCATAATGGGATGGCTGTGGTCAGCAACAATACTCAATTAGTCAATTAGTAAGAGGCCCAAAGTTTTCCAAGAAAATATTTCCCACACCATTACACCACCAGCTTGCCGATTTAAGGCAGGATGCATCCATGCTTTCATATTGATTACTGGTCCTACATCCGAATAACGCAGCAGAAATCAAATCTACTCAGACCAGCAGGGTTTTCCAATCTTCTTCTGTCCAATTTAAGGGATCCTGTGAAAATTGCAGCCTCAGTTTGCAGGTCTTAGCTGACAGGAGTGGTACGCAGTGTGGTCTTCTGTTATTCTAGTCCATCTGCATCAAGGACTGATGTGTTATGCATTCAGTGATGTTCTACTGCATAACCTGGTTGCAGCAAGTGGTCATCTGAATTACTGTTGGTTTCCTTTAGCTTGTAGCAATCTTGCCATTCAAGTCTGACCTCTACCTTCAAGGCCTGGATCTCACAATTTTGATGACCAGTTTAAACTTCAGCAGGTCGTCGTGATCATACAGCAATTTGCCTAAATGCAAATTGCTGCCATATGATTGACTGATTAGAGCTTAATAGGTGTACCTAACAAAGTGGCAAATGAGTATACATTTCAGTTAGGAAATTATTTTGGAAATGTTTGACATTCACTGCATTCTGATCATATGGAACTGACAACAAAATGAAATGAATTCAAATGATTTTATTGTCAGTGTAAAATTTTTATCTGCAATTAACAACAATGCCAGAAAATGGAAAACCCACAGGGGTCCACATCCATTCCTTGATAGTTTAATGCACCGGTGCAAAGGTGACTTGGAAATATTTGCACAACCAAGCAGACATTCTGTTATGACAGATATTTGGTTAAGAAAGCAAACTACAGGGACGAGTGCTTCAGACTTGACACGGGGGTCATCAATGGAAACTTTGACAGATAAGCGCAAGGACAGTGCATAACTCTGACCTTAAATTCAACAATCTAGTGAATTCCTCAAAGAGCGAGCAAAGCTGTACCCAGAGATCACACTGCTTAAGTGCAATATTTTCACTGTGTGGTTTCACAGGTCAAACAGAGAATTCAAGTATAGTTTTGGTTGTTTTGGCTGACGCTTTGGTCTGAAACTAAGGTATTGGCTATCCTCGTGTTAGAAAACATGACGCAAAACAAGAGTTACAAAGATATTTTGGATGAGTCTGTGTCAGTAGGAGAGAGAGAGATGAAAAAAGAGCACAGACAGAGATTTGTGTGCATGTGTGCATGTGTGTGTGGCATTTACTTAAGGACAGTGACATTCTTGCAATGATGAAAGACAAATAAAGAGAGGATGCGAAGGACTATTGTGAAAAAATATAAAAATCACACCATTGATGACAAGTGGGAAAATACGGCTTAGAAGTCCTGAATAAAAGCCTTGTCTGAGAATATTTTGTTTGAGTAGAGTGTGAAAGCAGAAGGTGCACTTGAAAAACAAAGCACCTTTCTATATAGTGGAGTGAAAGCAGAAAAATACTTTACTGAAAGGAATAAAAGAGGACATCTTCATATGTTTATATCTCATTATTCACAGCAATCACAATAAATTTCAATGTGCTTCAGTTTATCATTTCAGTCACATTTTGGTTTGTTTACTTTCAACATCTGCATTATATTTTGCATAAGAAGAGAATAAAGAGTGTTGGTGTATTTATTTTAATGATCTTGGTCTGACTAATTAGGGCAAAAAAGAAATCTTGTAAGCATCACTAAAGATGAAAGACACTGTGAATTTGTTGTTTTTAACTGGGAACCTATTTTTTATGTATATTCAGGTGCACAGCAAATATGAAAAGAACACACAGTAGTAATCTGAAACACTTACCTAGGGTTTGAGATGCAAAACAAGTCATGGCACTCTGCAGCCGGTCTGGTCTGACAGCCTGAACCAATAACAGCTGGAAAAAAACACAAAAATCCCCACAAACCGATAAAACAAAAACCTTATGTCAAAGCAGTATGCGACATATTCCAAAGAGTCAGGTATTAAAAAGTAATTCCCTAAATTATTCATAGATCTGCAGTCTGACTCACAGGGTGAGGGTTTGAGATCTTCTTTTTAATATATTTTAGAATGAAATATATATGCAAACGAGTATGTCACCTGCATGTAATGCATGTATTTGACTTTACAGATAAGTGGCTTCTAGTGTCTTTCTTTGTCTTGAGAATGGGTAATTTTTTATTCAATCTGGAACCAGGTGGGGAATGGTGTTTTTTTTCTTTCTATTTGACCATGGATTAAAAAAAGAAAGATTGAAGAATTTTTTTATTATACTAAAAGAAATTAGAGGGCGAGGTCCTCATCTGAAGCTGCCCAATCACTTTGGCTACAGTCACACAGGCCCAGAGAGGGTTGGCAACCTGCTGGCAGCCACTGGTTCCAAGGAGTAATTTGTATTCCCCAACTGGTTGGTGAGCGGTTGTCTGAGGTTTTGGGTAGTTGCAAAGGGAAATTGGTCATAAAAAGGTATAAAGGTGCTGCACTGAACATTTCCCTGTGATTGGTGCTGGAAGTTGCCTGTAGTTTGCATGCAAGATCGCAACTTGTCTGCAAGTGCTCAGCAACTATATTCAAGTAACAGTTAAATTGTGAAAAGTGTGTCGCAAGCTCGAAATGGAAACTATTTGCCTTCACAGTAATAGCTGTATCTGTTAAAACATGTTGGTTTTAGCAGTGAATCACACCTTTTACTTTGAAGTTCCCACTGGCCTTTTTTAGTTTTCTGGTGATCAACTGGCATTTGGCAAGTGTTTACAGACAAGTCAGCATTTTTCATGCAAACTATGGGAGAGCTCGGCAATCTGCTAGTGACCAAAGCAATCACAAGGCAGCTTTTGGTGTAGCAATCACTTTGTGACATTTGTTGACAGTCAGCAACCTTCAATAAAAACCTGCCAACCTAATACACATTTTTCTGGGGTCCTAGGTTTATGTAACCTAGATCTTAAATGTACTGTATGTATGCAAAAGCAAAAATCGATTACACAAACAATTACATCTATAGCCAAGTTAATATACATATACATAACTTCTGTACCATAATATTATGTATTTGTACATATTATCAGTAAGTAAAAAAACTAAGCAAGTCATCACACAATATATATTTAATATTTGTAATTATGATAATAACTATCAAAATAAGAAGAAGTAGATAAAAATTATATCTGGAGGGTAAATAAAAATGTTTAAAATAGCAGGCTGTCTGTTGTTGTAACAGCAATCAGTTTCTAAGCAGAAACAGGAGTGACCTATGCTGAAAGGTTCATCTTGAACCAACAAATGCGGGTGTTCAATGATTCTGTGGCTCACAGCTAAAGAAGTTGATTGAAAGCTGACCTGTTGGAAGGGAGTAATCTTCTTGGCAATGGAAGATGGGATTTCTTGTTCACAGTGCGAGCTCTGCAAGAAGGACAGCCAAAGATCTGAGTCACTTAAACAGAGGGTCTGGTAGAGAGCCGGGAACGTAGCCTGCAAAAGAGAGGGGGCAAAAGTTAAAAGGGTGAGAGATGTAAGATGAATAGATCCAATCTTTAGCTTGGTAAGGACTGGTTCACTGGCAATCTATTTAAACACCTTTAAAAATGCATTTTTCATGTCAGGAGGCAATATTCTACTGTTATGTCTGTGCTGCATATTGCGGCAGACGGTAGATGATGTTAACATGGAACTTTTAAAAGAAAATCCATTTCTATCCGAGCTGAGCATGTATGCTTTGTTTGCTATTTTCAATATCAGTGTATTTACTTTTAAAATGGCCACTGCTCCGTGCCTCTCCTGATCAATCCAAGAAGGGAACTCCTACCAAGACAGGGGAGACGTTAGAGAGACAGAAAAATATGGTGTCTTCTTGTTGTTACAAGAAAAAGTTTAATTCTTACCTCTTTCTTAAACATTTCTCCTACGATGAACCCAGTAAAGACATCCCATTCCTACAACAAGCAGAAGAGTTCAGATTAACACATTAAAGCTAAAAAGCATAGCAATCGATTGTCATTGGAATAGGTAATAAAATCCTAAAAATGAACAAACAAAATGACTCACGTTCTCGAGGAAGAGTTCGGGGTACATGCCTTTCACAAAGTGTATAGCAAACATCAACTGGTCAGCCTGCCACAGATGTAATGAAAGGAAGTGATAGAAAAGGAGAGAAAGAGAGAGAGAGAAAGGGTGGAAAAAAAAGGGGTTATTTATCACTAGTGATAAAAGTTGAGTTCTGACATGTACAGGGCTATACTTTCTGCTCAGATTCAGCCAAATGCTTCAAAACCGACGAAATGAGCCTTCAAAGTACAAATTGTTATTTTTCAGGTTTCAAGTTTCAAGTTCCCCCTTGTGTTATTTTTGTCTAATATTTAAATTTTAAATATGAAATCAGGAAGGGGGCGAATGCTTTTTCATGCCACTGTAGTACACACTAGATGAAGGATGCACAATCACCTTCTTTTAAAGTAAAATAGGACTATTTTTAACAAGTTTAAAGCCCCCTATGATAAAAGTGAAAAAATAACACTGAAATATATTCTGTACGTACATAAAGGCAAATAGTAAAAATACATGTAAAATAAAAAAAAATAAACCAGTTTGAAACAAAGTAATTATAGTAACTTAGTTGCACCAGTAACTCTCAAGAAGTTCTTTCATTTCGAACATGCTTGATGTAAGACTTCAATGAGTCACGACTTTCTAATATAGCTCACATCTTACGTCTGTGGTGGTATAAATGGCCCATAACTGGCATTATATAAATCTATTGATTCTACTGAATTCTCATCATTTGCATGTAACAGTATCACAGTACTTAATAAACAAACACACAATGCACCTAATAACATTCACAGTGGAATACACCCACATTGCTTCTGTGACCGCCACACATATTTATGTTAATCTAATTTCATGCACTTAACAGCTGGCAAGGGCAACCACATTAGAATTAGCATGCTTGTCCGTAATAAGTCTCAATGCTCTATAAAGTGGGCAAAAAGAGGTTAAATGTGTTAATCAATTCAGCCGGGTTATTCATAGAAGCTGATGTCACTGCTATCAGATGCAAAGATTGTAGTCTGTCAGAGAACAGCTATTCATCATTTGGGTGTATTTATTGGATGATTATCTAACGCATGGTAGCAAAAGAGGAGGTGCACACAGGGCTCCAGAATCTATTTATAAATTAATTTGGGTGCATTTTAAACTAAATAGTAAATGGCCTGTATTTGTATAGCACTTTATTAGTCCAAGGACCCCAAAGCGCTTTACACATCCAGTCATCCACCCATTCACACACACTGGTGATGGCAAGCTACATTGCAGCCACAGCCACCCTGGGGCGTACTGACAGAGGCAAGGCTGCCGGACACTGGCGCCACCGGGCCCTCTGAGGGTTGGACAGAGGAAGAGCACCACCAGTAGGCAACAGGTGAAGTGTCTTGCCCAAGGACACAACGACCAAGACTGTCCGAGCCGGGGCTCGAACCGGCAACCTTTCGATTACAAGACGAACTCCCAATTCTTGAGCCACGATCGCCCCATAAACTAAGCACCACTGGCAACAAAACCAGAGTTATAGTGAAGAAATTATATTATACAGCGCTTTGTTTTGTCAGGACCAAGTAGTTGTTATTTATTCACTTGTCGCTCCCAAAGGGGCATCCACACAGGAAGTGGCTGGCAGTGGCAACCAGAGACAATAGAAATGCATTGTGACCTATGGACAGCACTGAGCAACACAAAGTAAACTTTTCTTAACTTTGAGGTGAGAGATTGAAGCGACTACCAGTAAGAGAGCAGCATGAAGGATAATCTTAGTTGATATTTGACAGGTTGTAAATAAATTAGAATGTTACCTAGGTAACCAGAGCCTGGTATGTGTGTGTGTGTGTATCTGTGTACCATGTTTACATATCTTTGTGGGGACCAAAAATTGAAATGTTACTATTTTTATCGGGACCAACAGCCCTTATAGGGACAAAAAGCAATTAGGTTATGGTTAAGGGCCAAGGGTTAGGGGAAGCGGCTAGGGAAAGCATTATATCAATTACATGTCCCCACCAAGATATGACAGGATATCACAGGTTTACTTTCCTGAGAGCTTCCTGGTAATTACAGGACTATTGTGACTGAGTTTCACTTTGTTTTGTATCAGATGCAAGTGTTTTGTTAGACACAACACATCCACATGCCCCACCTGTAAATAACCTAAATAAATCAAAAAAGAAAATGAAGCATTTTTACATAGTCCACATCTTCAAAAACCTTCCTAACACATCTCTGCTTGTCACCTACTATATTCTGTACTTTTACCAACCAGATGAAGACCCAGCATGACGTGTAGCAAAGTTAATTTTTCAGGTTTAGACCAGACATCTAAACAGCCATGACCTCTGTCCAACCCTCTCTATGCTTCATCTCTTCATCCATGTCTAAGTGATTTACCCCAAGCTGCAAAGTTCAAGCCCGTCTACTGAAGTGCTGCAGCAGTGGATACTGTACAGCTGCGCACACACAAAGTTGAAGAGTAAAATGACTGATTACACAAAGCACAAAAATGTGCCACATTTCTGTGTGCATGTGTCAATCTGTGTGTATACATGTTTTTGTAGTGTGTGCTCTGAGTCAGAAAGAAATGAAGCTGAAAGAGTCTAAAACCATAAAAGTCTCTTACTAGTATAGTATATACTAGAATAGTAGCAGGTAAAGACCCCGGGTAGACTGTAAAACCTTGACTATATGTCATATATGCTACTACAAGTGAAACTAGTGCCTTGTCCAACTCAAGAGATGTATCTAAATTCTCACATTCAGAATAATAGAACTAGAATACAAACCCACATTCATAATCTGTTCATAAAGTCAATTCATTCTACAGTGGAATTTAACTAGATATCAGTAAGTAAAAAAACTAAGCAAGTCATCACACAATATATATTTAATATTTGATGACCACCTGTTAGCTGTCTATCTATCCATCCATCTTCTTTGAGCATATTTTGTAAAAACCATGAAAATATTAAATAGCTAAAGGAGGTCAAATGGCATCATAATATATTAATTAATTAATTTTAGTATTTTAACACCTTAGTACCAACAGAGCATCATTTAAATGCCACAGCCCACATGACCATGTCCATTTGTTTTATATATTACCCACTGATAACATACAAATCACCAAAATTACCCAAATAAATTATCCAAACAACGTTTGCTTTGTAGTTCTGTATAAATATGTGCTTTACCTTGAAAAGAGACCGACAGACATACTCATAAACCATATTCTTCAAGTTGGCTCCTAATGCCGCAATCCTGGCATCAGTATTCTCTTCTTCCTAAAATGTAAAACAAACAAACACACAGACATAAATGAGCTGAAGAAGAAGACACTGGACATTAAATAGGACAAACTCATGTTACAAAAGGATGTCGTGTCACAAAGTAAGTTTTTATTAATACCAAGCAGGAAAAGTGTCTGTAACTGTATTTTATAATAAATAACTGTGTCCTAGATGTACTACCAAAAGTAGAATAATTGAAAACAGCATTTTTATTTTAGTGTGTTCTTTTTTTCTGTCATATCAGAGGAACCCAATTGTCTCAAGGCTATTCTGGAGTGCATGCGCAGCAATTACACCATGATAATAACACATATAGAGAAAGACACAAAAGAAACAAATGGAAATAGTACAAATAAATAAATAATAAAAAAAAAAATCCAGCCTTATTCTCTGCCCCATCTGTTTTTCTTTCCATGTATGTGTCCTTCTGCCTCTCCTATCTGAATTTCTGCTGTTTTAAACCTTTGCAAAAGCTAATCTAGGCTTCGTAACCTGCTTCCACTCAAGGTGTGGGTGACATTTTTTTTTCTGTTATATAGTTATATTTGAAAAAAACTCTTTTTTAAAAATATAACACAAGTCTTTCCTGTTTCTTTTCCACATGGGTATGCTTGTTAAAGTGTGACTGTGTGAATCTATGTATGTAGGCAAACAGAGAAGTGTGTATGTCAGCCATGAGAGGGCAAAATTATCTTGTTAGATTTCAGAAGCCATCTGCACTTTGTGGCAAATTAAACTTGCTTATTCAACACACAAACCAATGGATGCAAAGATAGAGAGTCCATGAATCAGTGCACTATTCTGACTATACTGCTGACTGTAAGACAACATACACACTCATACGTAGAAACATGTAAGAGTAGTGACCAGCTGCTGCCTGGTGACATTCTTGGATGGCAGCACGGGCTCTAACAACCCACACAGGATTTGGGAGAGTTAGTGTTCAGTCTCTCAACCCACTCTATGTGTGCTGGTGTGTATGTGTGTGCACATGCATGTGTGCACTCTGGTTATCAGACAGTGCTTAGGGCTCAGATGGGAAACAGCAGTGTGATACATGCACGATGTGCTCCAGCTGTACAGGTCAGACTAAAATACTCAGTTGCAGAAGAACACAAAAATGATCCTTCAAAAAATGTAACTAAGTAAATTAAGCTGAATTTATCAAAACTAAACTGAGCTAGACAAAATATTCTGAAACAACTACAGACACCATATATCTTTTGCAGTCTGCTTCAGTGTAAACATATTGTCTTGCACTCATGCTTGTACTGATGAGCAATAAATGTATTAAAAAAATAAGCAGTAGCAAAACTGCTTTACTCTGGACATGCCAAAAACAGCAGTTTATATTATTGTGAATAAGTTTGCAAAGCAGTTTTTTTTTTAATGTATGAAACACTGGGGGGTCTACCTATCAGATGAACAGTGGATGGATCCGAGAGTCCTCCAGTCTGATTGGTGCCTTTGGGCAAATTACTGAACCCCAAGTTGCCCTCTGATGTGTGTAAATACTACAAAGCGTAGATAAAAGCACTGTATGAATGTGTGTGTGATTGGGTCAATGAGACTTGCAGTAAGAAAGTGCTTTGAGTGCTCAACTGAGTAGAAATGCATTACATAAGTACCACTTTTTTTTACCATCAATGTAAATCGAGCTGTGATGGAAATTAAGAAAATTAGACCTTCCCGTATAGTCTCTTTCCCGATAACAGTTTGTAAATGAATTTCTATGTCACAGAACCAGCCTTTCCCAGAAGATCTGTAATGATACGACGCTTTTTTTTTTTTTTCCATCTTTGAGGGTGCGTGCCTAATCAGAACAATCGAAGAGTTGCTCTGCTCTTAGTGGTTGTTACGTCATTAGACTTGCCCAACAACCGCCTGGGCAACGTATGAGGCTGACTAGTCAAAAGGTACAAGGCCAACTGAAGAAAGAAGCAGAACTATCTGGTCAGAGCACACAATGCACTGAGCAGAACTGTTATTATATATTGGAAAAAAGTGAACAGGCTTTTTTAAAATTTCCTTCTAAGTTTCTTCCCAGGCCACTTTGCTAATTTAGAGGTTTAGGCTATCGCTTGAACAGAGCTAGCATTGTGCATAGCTCTGCCCAATAGCTGTGTGCATATATATCTATTGTGTATGAGCAGTTGCCAGGCAACCACAGAGACCCTCTGTTAAAAAAACTTGTTAATTAGCAAGCAGTTTAGAGGGGTTTTTTTGTTTGTTTTTTTTACTGCTGGACAGAGTCGGGCTAGGACAGTTTCCAGTCTCTATGTTAAGCTAAGCTGATGAGCTGTTGGTGATAGTTTCATATTTAGTTGACAGAAAAGAGGAGGTGTCAACTTTCTCACTCAACTCTTTGCCAGAAATTAAATAAATGCATTATCCAAAATGTCCAAAGCTATTCTTTGAAGCTGAACTTATACTATTTCATCCATACACACATGGTCCATCTCCACTGAAACATCAACTACACTAAACTGCCTAAGCATCAATTAGCTGGTATATTAATAAAAAGCCACGGATTGTCCATATATCCAATAATACACAATGCCACGACTGAAAACACATGAACACACACTGAAAACAGTCAACTGTTATTTTAAACAGTTTAATTTTATGCCCTGATTGTGAGACTATTTGGAAGTGTGCGTATTAACCTTTTTTTAATCCGTTGAACAAATTTTTGTTTAGTCACAAGGAGATGTTTTGTTGATGCTGATTTCACCTCAAGAGTTTATTAAACACAATTATTAAAAGTGTCTTAAAACATGAGTGAGTACTGTAAGAGCTGTGAGGAATTTCTTGCTGCATTGTATACATTTCTGTATACATATTTTTTATTTGTTGTATTGTATTATTTATGTATGGTGATCTGCTTGTATTTCTTTTACCGCCAGTGTGGGACAGTACTCCAATTCCATTGTACTATTGTACAAAGTATGACTGTGCAGTAACAATAAAGGGTTAGAGCTAAAGTTAGCTAAAGTTAGAGCTAAAAGTATTTAGTTACCTTCTTGGCCTGAAGAGCTCTTTGGAAGAGGCGCAGAAAAGAGGCGAGGCTGAAGCGGTACATGTTGTTGATCTTTGACAGGTCTGTGATAACAAAATACATCTTGCTAGCACTCTCTGCAAGAGGCAGGTAGGCATCCCGTTCCTAAAGTAAAAGCAAAGAAAAACAGAAAGAGAGAGAGAGAGAGAGAGAGAGAGAGAGAGAGAGAGAGAGAGAGAGAGAGAGAGAAAACAATGTCAAAAAGAAATAAGGGACAAAACAAGGAAACAGTGAAAGAAGGACCACATATGTTGTGGAGTTACAACAGATGGATGGATGAAGACAGAAAATTGCACTGATATGCAGAAAACATAACATGCGCGGAAAAGCAATTACAAGTGTTTATTTCAATCAAAATGGAAGAATAGAGGGATAAATTAGGATGGACTCAATGACTTGTAATGAGAAAGGAGCTGTGAGAGAAAAAAGAGGTGCATGGGCCCCGGGGAGAAATAATAAAATACACACACACATAAAAAAAAAAAAAAAAGAGTAAAGTGCAAAATCAGTTCTGGTATAACACTGCACCCTAGAGGATGAGTATATAATGCATTTACAATGTGCCTACACTTTTACATATGTGCAGTCCGATGCCTGCAGCATTATATTGCTCATTTTATTACATTTAATATACATTTGGCTTACTTGTTTAGGTACACATTCTGTGAAATTGACAGCATGTTACATCTACCTAAATATCTTGTTTTAATAATTAATTAGCAACTGTTTTACAGGGTCTCAAATCATTTATTGGAAAGTAGAACATATCTCAGCTAGTGAAGCTTTCAGGAGTCATCTGTCAAAGATTAGAAGTTACAGTCTTTTCGATTTTCACTTACAGCCATTTGAACTATGAAGAGTCAGAGTTTGCCTCACAAACATCAAGGTATGACATCCGTGTAGAAGGCCAACATAAATCATAATGTTGATTCCCAAAGTGTTACTCCTTTTAAAACTGAACCCCAAAAATGTATTTAGTATATAGGATTTTCATGGGTTGTGTGTGTGTGTGTGGTTGAAATACCTGGTCCAAGGAAGCCTGCAGCCTATGTGATTCCAGTAGTGACTCCTGGATTAGGGCGCTGCTTGCTTTGGTCTGGTTTAGGCTGTCTATTAGCTCCCTGTTCTCCAGAATATTCCCCTGAGCTGTAGCCAAGGTCTGACAACCAAAAAAGGACAAGTTGCAAAAGATCAGCAGGAAATAAGGAGAAATTTAAATTACGTAGAGAGAGTTCAATTGGATAAAATCTTTGATCTGATAAAAGTTGCAAGGAAAAGACAAGTTGTTTGCATCATGTGGGGTTTTTATTTATTTTGTTGTATTTAAGCATTCATTGGGTGTCAAGAGTCTTCCACTAAATCCTGTGGAATCTATTCTCTGAAACCAAGTGATAAAATGTATTCAAATAAATTCAAATACAATAGATGAGAAAGCAGCAGAGCATGGAAATGTCAAGTCAAATATGCTCCTACAATTCAAGAATAATTATATGTCTAGTACCACTGAAGCACTGACATCTTGGTATCCGTGTGTGTGTGTGTGTGTGTGTGTGTGTGTGTGTGTGTGTGTGTGTGAGAACAGATTTCCCTTAGACAAAAAAAAAAGATCATTAGGGTGAATTCCACAATGTCCATCGCTGATGTGTGCACGTTTCTCTGACTGTATACTGTATGCATGAAGCTTTTGTTCAGCTGTTGTGTGAAAGTAAAGAAATGAAGGAATCTTCATTGGAATGAAGCACTTGGCCAGGAAGAATTTGATGTTTTGCTCTATACTGTCATTACAATATGTGTAAAATGACATGTCCACACAATGCTCACCCCTTCTTATGGCTACATCTTCTTAAACCAGCAGTCTTTATGAACACACTCTAGCCACTTTATTAGGTACACCACATGGGACAGATTCAACAAGCTGCTGAAACCATTCATCTGAGATTTTGATCCATGTGACGTGACAGCATCAAACAGTTGCTGTAGATTTGATGGTTGCTCATTGAATCTCCTGTTCCACCACATCAACGTGCTCTCTTGTAATGTGATCTGGTGACTGTGGAGGCCATTTCAGTACACTGTCATGTTCTAGAAACCAGGATTAGGTGATTTGAGCTTTGTGGTACCACTGTCAAGACATCAGCCACAGCAGCGTGGAGAGTCTGGGACAGAGCTGAAACCACATGGGAAGAAGAGTTCCCAATATGCCCCATGTAAGTCGCTATAGTATAACTTGTGGTAAGGAGATTATCAGGGATTCTAACCTGTGGCCGCAAGTAATGCTTATTGGGACTGAGGGCTTCATCTCGAGATATTTTCAGTAGCAGCATGGCCTTGAGCAAGCTTGTGGTGTTGAGTAGGTAAAGGGGAGCTACATGCAGACACCCCTGAAAAAGGCAAGTCAGCCTCAGTAAAGTATTGTCAAACCAGGCCAGCCTCGTGGTCCTCTCAGTTAATGGCATACAGCTGGAGTTGATGCAAACATCATCTGTCAGAGCCTGCCTGAGATATTCAATGCCAAGACACAGTGGACATCTGTCATGGCCATCCTCCTGGCTTAGAGGGACCAAACATGCCTGCAGGATAGAGTACCTGTGCCAATTTCAATAAATGGTGTAGCAGTGAGGCACAAATCTAACACAAGCAGCAGGTATAATGCTGCCAAATTAGCAATGTTGAAGAAGAGCGATGAGCATTCAGCCTAGTAGTTATTTGAGTTACTGTTGCTTTTATGTCAACTCAAAGCAGACTGCCCATTCTCCTCAATGGATATTTTCAGTTTTTTAAACTATGATGGGATGATGATGATGATGATGATGATGATGATGATGATGATGATGATGATAGAAGGTTTGTTTTCTGTTTTTAGTCTTTATGCAGTTCAAGTAGTTGGACAGAAGAAGGTTTGAATGGGCTTTGGCTGTAGCTATTTAAATTATCTGTGTTGAGAACAAAATGAACACACTGTGTTGTCAGTAATTGTTGTGTTCATATTTGTCTGCAATGACCAGAATACAGAATAACTGGCCCAGTTACTGATGATTAAGATATCACTAGTTACAGAGGCTAAATCATCAGAAAGCAGCCCCTCCAGTGGATACATTGTATCCAAAGTTTTCCATTTGGTCAGTCAATTTTCACAGATTCATTGAACTAAACTTCAGTACTCAGCAATAACAGCTTCTGGTTATGATGAAGTGCTCCATCAGACATATGCGTCAGCGTTCAGGGGAGGGAAACTGATCGCGACAGCAGCAACTCCTCCTGCTCAGTCTGTACACACCGTTCTATTTTGTCTACCATACCCTCCTCAGGCTTAGTCCTCATCAGTGGGTGGGAGCAAAAACGAGATCTGCAGTGCAGAGAAAACTGAGCATTCACACTGGAAGAAAATGAGGTTTCACCAACATGAAATCATCATCTCCACATTCAGGTCCGCAGGTATTTGGGCTCTGACATAATTCTGAATTTGCTTCTGCACACCACCAAAGCAGATTTGGTGCAAAGCAATCAACACATGATTTGAATGTAGACTTTTATCTTCTATTTGGGTGATTTTTTTTTCAAATATTACTTCTTTTTTTTAGGAAATATTCAATGGCCAAACTAAATAAATTATAAATATCAGAACAGCTAGGAGGATGTTTTTGCCAACATCCAAATACTATGAACTCAACAACCTATAGCTTTGTACTCCATTATGTACAGGGTGGACCATTTATATGGATACACCGTAATAACATGGGAATGGTTGGTGATATTAAAGTCCTGTTTGTGGCACATTAGTTCATGTGAGGGGGCAAAATCCTCAAGATGGGTGGTGACCATGGTGGCCATTTAGAAGTCGGCCATCTTGGATACAACTTTTGTTTTTTCAATAGGAAGAGGGCCATGTGACACATCAAACTTATTGGTAATGTCACAAGAAAAACAATGGTGTGCTTGGTTTCAACGTAACTTTATTCTTTCATGAGTTATTGACAAGTTTTTCTTTGTTCACAGCGATTGACATGTCGAAGGGGTTAACACGTGAGGAGGGGATCAAAGCAAGAGCCCACAGCGTGGCACTCGTCGCATGTCACTGGAGAGTGAAATTAGTCGAACCTTCGGCAGATATTAGCTACTCACAAATGGCACCCTTACAAACTCCAGCTACTGCAGCATCTCAACGAGGATGACCCAGATCGGCGCACAGAATTTGCAGAATGGGCAAAACAAAAATTGGAACAGGAACCTCAGTTCACGCAGAAGATTTTGTTCAGTGATGAGGCAAACTTGAATGTGAATGGTGAAGTTAACAAACAAAACCACCGCTATTGGTCTGACACTAACCCACATTAGATGGATCCCTCCAAGACTGTTGGAACAACAAAAGTGATGGTTTGGTGTGGTACATGGGGTACAACGACAGTGGGTCTATTCTTCATCAATGGAAACCTCAAGGCCACTGGATATTTGAAATTTCTACATGATGATGTGTTTCCCTCTTTGTGCACTGAAGCTGGTACGTTCCCTGAGTTTTTCCAGCAAGATGGTGCACCACCACATTATGGGTGCCAGGTCCGAGCATTCCTAGATGAACAATTTCCTGGAAAGTCGATTGGTCGTCGTGGGCCAGTTGAATGAGTCTCTTGGCGAAAAGGCAACACAGAGGTATCGAAACATGGGGGCAAAAATGCTCTGGCCACCGTCACCGCTGTCGTGGACGCCAGGGGTACCGCCTCCGGCCACCTGGTCGTGCGGTCCACCACAGTCAAAAGGTGCGTGAAACCCTGTGACTGCGGCAAGGGACCAACCAGGTCCACATGAACGTGATCGAAATGCCTATCGGGGACATGGAAAGGTTCGAGGGGTGCCTGCGTGTGCCGGTGGATTTTCGAGCGTTGGCATGGGATACAAGCTGCCGCCCATTCTTTGACCGTTTTGCGAAGGTCCGGCCAAACAAACCTGGCGCTGACCAGCTTGACCGAGGCCCGGACGCCAGGATGAGAGAGGGCATGCACCGAGTCAAAAACACGACGACGCCATGAAAGGGGAACCACTGGTCGGGGGTGGCCGGTGGAAACGTCGCAAAGCTTCACACACCCCCGTTCTCTGCTAGCCATCGGGGCGGGGGGGCTGGGAGGAGATGTTGGCTATCCGATTGGCCTCCCTGCTGCTGCGGAGCCTGGGACGGTCTGCTTGCCTCCACCCCGGGGGGAAGGGTAACATCTCTTGGGTCTGGGTTCTGTTTCCCCCTCTGGGGGCGAGGGGACAGCACAACAAGGGTCGAACTTCACACTTTACATTAGTGTCACTGAGCTCCCTGCGCTCTGTCCTCTTTAGTCTTCAGTTTTCCTCCTCATCCATGTTCAATCATACAATACAATCATCTTATAACTGAAAGATGTCCTACTTTCACTAAACTCATTTCCTATATGACTCTACCTGCTGTAAATGTCATAGAGGAAGCCTCACCTGTTATATTTACAATGCATCTTATTGTCTTGGGTAAATATTACAATACATCTGCTTTCGGTTGGCTTTTCTTTCTCCTTACTTTCTCTGCAGGTTTCAGTGTCACACTGCAGAGGCAGCTAAGTTGGAGGCCGATGTGTCAAAAGCTCAGGACACGATCACTGCTGCCCAGCAGCTTATATCACAACTGGACGGAGAACACACACGCTGGAATGCACAGGTAGTTTGATGTATGGCTGTGATGATATATGTATTGGTGGGGGAGGTTATACACATTTACTCAAAAAGAGGCTCATTTGCCATGTAAGAGCAACAGGAGCCGTGAGTGTCTAAGAGCTCGTGGGTGTGTGTGTGTATGACAGGGGGGATGGATCCCGCTGTCTTGGGTCCCTTCTGGCTGTTTTTACTCCTCTCCACAGCATCTGTCTGCACCTTAATTAAAACACTCAATCTCTTCCTGACATTCTCGCTCGTACACACACCCTCAGTCCCACCGTCTCCCTCAAGGACTACACCAGAGAGCCAGTTTGCTCTCCACTCACGTATTACCATATACTCTCACGTGTACACACATACACTCACTTCAACGCTGTACAGTAGCTGTAGGTCACTATACATCAATACTTCTAAGCTGTTTTAGTGTTTCTCAGGAAGGGAAAACCAATGAGTCAGGTGTACACAGCTACAGTGTAAGTGAAACAGATGCAAGTTTTTAAGTAGGACGTATTAATGCAGTAGACTAGAGATCTCAAGGTCATGAAAACTTGCAACCTCAGATGTGGATATAAGTGGGGAAAAGGGTTAGCAATTAAGCCTGATGTTTAAGTATTTTACAGAGATGTGCGGGTGCGCCCGTGTTCCCCTGACATGCTATTAAAATACCTCAAAGGAATCCTGATGAACCTGGAAGTCTTTACAGCTGTGTCAGTAAAATCGGTGCAGAACAGCAAGTGTGTTCCAGGTCCTGCACTTGTGGGTTAGCATTTTTTCGTCTAGTTAAACATTTTATGTGGTCATTTGGTATTTATAACTGTGTTTAGTATTAAAGAGTCATTAGGAAGAAAACCAAACAAAAACCAAACATGTTTTGCACTGGGCCATATTAGCAACATATGAGCAATGTACCAACTTCAGTTCTCTCCTTGCTCCACCTTCTTTTCTCACATCCACGCCTTTTCTCCCGATACTGCCCGTCACTCTAATGTGATTAGTTTTTATACTTTGTTCACCTACCTGTATTTTGTCCTAGATGTCCGAGATAAAGAATGAGTTGGATACGCTCCCTGTTAGAGCCTTGCTTGCGGCAGCCTTCATCACCTACCTGTCTGCAGCTTCGGAAGACCGTAGACGACAGTGTCTGGACTCGTGGATGGCTCACTCTGGACTACAGAGTAAATATATCACTAGTTCTTTTACCACACTAGCAACAGCATATGGCAAGTCCTGTCCCAAGCAGCCTACTCAGACACCGCTGCCCACACACAACATAACGGACTCTACTGTTACAACATGGAACATACAGACGTTACAGCTTCAGGGTCTTCTCGAAGAGCTTGTTTGCCATTTAACTAAATAAATGGTAATTTTAATTTTAATTTATAATGATGTTATGTTTTAATCCCAGGCTCAGAAAGCATCACAGTACTTGATAATCCTGTTTTGTGACTTTGTGTTTTTTAATGATATGATACTACATCAATAATCAATACCCCATTAACTGATCTCCTCTTACGTTAATATAAATGCATTGAAATTGTACATGAAAAGCACTAATTATTATCTCAGTGATATTTAAACTGAGGTATGGTGACAATAAATACAAATAAAGACACAAGCCTTTTTGTTGCTTGTTTCAGAGTTTGACTTGCGATCATTCCTGTGCTCGGAGAGTGAACAGTTGATCTGGAAGAGTCAAGGGCTGCCATCAGATGATCTCTCAATGGAGAACGCACTGGTTATACTGCAGGTTAGACTAATATTTCAAATCTGCATCTACAACATGACACAGGGATTTACTAAATATAAACACTAATTTCAGTCTCTTTTTGCCTACTTTATATAAGGATGTTATTAATACTATTTATGCATTGGCTTGCTTATTTCACATCACTGTATAAAATATTTAAAAAGACATTAAAGTACAATACAAACCCAGCATTAACATGATAAAACAAGTCTAGCTGTACCGAAAGTTGTGTCCTTGTTGCCATACGTCTGTGCTCCATTTGGTTGTATCGTGTTTGTGTGTTGTTTTTATCATCGCCACCACCAGATCAATGCACTCAAGTTGAAGGTAAGAAGTCCATCATTCATCCTCGTAGCTGTTTCCTACATAGCTAGTTTATTTATTTAGTGTTTCTTTGTCTCTCTGTTTCTCTTTTGCTTTTGTGTTTGCCTTGAAACTAGTGAGAAAGAGATGTGCTGTCACTTTATTAGGTACACCTAGAGAGTACCAGGTTGGACACCTTTTGCCTTCAGAACTGTCTTAATTCTTCGTGGCATAGATCTCGCACATCCCAGACGTGCACTATTGGACTGGGATGGTGACTGTGGAGTCCATTTCAGTCATGTGAACTCCTTGTTATGTTCAAGAAACATAACAATGAGACAGTTTGAGATTATTTGATCTTTCTGACATGGCACATTGAGTTCATGCCATGTGGTTAGAAATTTGCATTAAGGAGCAGATGGACAGGTGTACCCAATAAAGTGTCTAGGGAGTATGTGTACGCATACACTCTCGCAAAAATGACATAGATCATATAAAATTTTGGGGGTTCTTAGAGACATCAAATGGTCCGCTCTCTCGCTGAATGTGCCGTAACAACTTGTGGGCAAATTGTCAGTGGTTCCATGTACAAGACTTATAGATGATTTGCCTCAGAACTGATTTGTCAGGCTCATGAGCATTCACAACCATTTTTTTCTAAAGGCATTAGAGATCTTTTTATATTGCTACACACTTCAGCTGGTACAAGAACAGTGGACCCTATCCTGATAGAGGTTTCAAAAACACTGGTTTCAGCTTTTACTGTATAAACAAACTGTAATCATTGGTGTGTATGTGAGAGAGAGTAAGAAAGACGGCGAGAGAAAGACTCCTGTGCCTGATATAGGAAGGTGGTAAGTATGATAGCACTGTGACGGGGCTAAACCATATGCATACACACATGCAGTGCACATCATTTTCTAGGTGAGTTGTGTGCTTTATAAGTAAAACTATCCTAAAACAACTTCAGCTGAAATGTCCTGCTTTCTCCTCATTTCTGACTCAGAGTGTTGCGTGTCCATTCCTGATCGACCCATCATCCCGAGCTACAGAGTGGCTATGTACACATCTCAAACAGCACAGATTAGAGGTTATCAACCAGCAGGTAACAACACACAATCAGTAACATGTGTCGTGGAATGGAGGGTCATTAATCTGTTAGATTTTGCAAAATCCTGTGCACACACTGGTGATGTGCTTTGTTTAATTCAGTTAACCCTCATTCTAACCCGTTCTTTCTTCTTTTTCTAAGTTTTCCATTAGACATTCATGACTGATCAGTTTCTTCTTGTCTAATGAATCCAAGTTTCTCTTCTTTACTAGAATATCTTAATCATTTAGAAGCAAGCCTTAACCATACTTTGATCGGTCCAGGTAATGATTTTAGCAAAAAGTTATGATGATTACATTAAGTAACACTGGTGTCCATTACTTATCACTTAACTGTTACATATTAATTACTGCATTAGTGTCATCAGGTACACTGAAAACACTCATTTAATTATTTATTTTTTGTATATGTATTTAAATTGTTTGGTTTTTGCTTAATAACTTGTTAAAACTCTCTAGACACTCTAGATGTAAATGCTTTGTTTAGAAAGAAAATATAAGATTTATTCATCTTCCAACTGTAAATTTTTTCTTTTTCTTCTTTTTTAATCGTAATCGTACTACAACTATAATTACTCTTCCATCCACCAGATACACGAGAGAACTGTGTTACCATCCACCTCTAGAATTTAATGTAATCTCTTAGTACTGGGTGTCTGTGTGGCTTCTCTCTATAGGATAATAACTTCATGACATCCCTAGAGCTGGCAGTCAGATTTGGAAAAACCCTTATCATCCAAGAGATGGATGGAGTTGAACCTGTGCTCTATCCGCTGCTGAGGAGAGACCTAATAGCACAGGGTACTCACACATTCTCACAAGCACAAACACCAATTTCATACAAAGTTGGGCTGAAGAACTCTTTTGGGCATAATTCAGAGGCTTAAGCAACCTCAGGTTGCTGACTACTCACCTCTATCCAGGGGCTACTTTTCTGCAGCGTAGTGAAATCCCATTCTGAGGGATATTGCCTCAAAGTTTAATTAACCAATCCTGACTAGTGCATTGGGCCATCACAGTACTTCTTCTCACTCTCAAAAGCCTTACTCTGTAAAATATTAAGTAAATCAAATGGTTAAACATTGACTATTCATGTTTTATTTTATATTCAGACAAGACCTTTCCTCAATACAGTCACAGTAAAGGGAAAGTTAAAAGAACTCAGACAAAATGCAGAAGCACCCCTCATTTCTCTATAATTTACTTCAAAGTTGCCAGACTTCTAATATGTTTTAATTGGTCTTCAGTGTTTTAGTTTTGGACATGTTTTTTTTCCACTCATTTTCAGGCCTTCTATCTTACCATTGTTTTTTGTTTGTTCGGTTGCTTAACACTGTCATGTTAATTGTTTACAGATGACTTGATAAAGAACAAATTAGACGCCTGATGCAAAAACACATCATTTGTTTACATTTCTATATAAAATGTCTATGTCTGCCTTTATGAAATTAATCTATGAAAAATGGAAAAGATAAAATAGTTTTACAGGCATAAAAAATAATATTTTTCTGCTAAAAAAGGTGATTATTGAAGAGCTATTTGCTGAAAACATGGCATATATCAATATGGTGTAGACTTTGTCCTTAAACAATTTGAGGAAACTACAAAGCTGGTCACAAAAGATGAAGTGGCAGGCTTTAAAAAAACAGCCTACAGCAGATGAGCAGTATCATAAAGTCATGTCATCAAGAAATAGAAAAAAGTATCCGGCAAAGACCTGACACAGGACCTCAGAGATGCATCTGGCCCTTCAGTCAATTCATCTACTGTTCACTGAAGCATCAGCAGAAATGGTCCCATTGGAACGGTGGCAATTAAGAAGCCATTCTCAAGGAAGGCAAAAGGCAACCCGTTCTCACTCCCAAAGCGTAACATTTTACGCTAGGTGACAAATCGTCACCATATTACGTTTTCGGCTACCCACCACGTTCCTAAATGACGACCTCGGAAAAAGAGGAAATATGAGAACCGTCTGGACTGAACCTACACATGTTCGCTCTTTTTCTTCAAATCGCTTAGAAACACGCTATTTAACATCATTAAAGTCCTGGTTATGGTCAGGGCTAGGGATAAGGTTAGGTTTAGGGCTGGAATACAGGGCTGGAACGTCTATTACCGCGGGAGCGTCATTGCACTGGATTCCAGCCATAACCCGCCGCGTACCATAAGAACGCCGAAGGTCTCCTTTCGCGTTCCTCAGGAACGCCGCGGGACGTGACAAAACGTCGACATGTTACGCCTCGGGAGTGAGAACGCTCTGCAAAAGGGGAGAAAAGGCTGAGCTATGCTGAATTACTCAAGAGCTGGACAGAAATCAGTGGTAACAGCTCTATAAAACACGGTGGAGGCCCTGTCATGGTTTGGGGCTGAATTTCAGCCAGTGGTGTTGTGGATCTTATCAAAGCGGATGGATTTACAAACATAGAAAAGTACCGTCAGATCTTGATCCACCTGGATACAAAAACACAGAGTGGATCACTACCAGTCATGGACTAGCTTCACCAGGGCCCAAACCTCAACATTGTTGAAGCAGTGTGGGATCATGTTGAAAACTTAAAGAAATCACAAGAATAACCCTTCCCACATTATTGCACAGCAGCTGTTGCTTCTCTAAGACCATTGCTGATGATTTACTCCTGGCATTGTGTTAACACACCTGAATCCACCAGACCTGCAAAGTGCCAGAGCTTCAGCTTTTATAGAGATGCTCACACTTGCTGATGATCAGCTAATCAAGTGAATTTGATTAAAGTGGTTGGTACTCACGCTCTCAATTCCTGTGGAAGCAGTTGTAGTTTGTTTAAATTTGTATGTTGCCAGCTGTAAAACCTGCTAAGGATCAGATTGTTTTTACTATGTCCCGATACATAAAACCTTAGAATTTAAAGAGTGTGTACTTTATTTTTTACCAAACTGTAGATAATGATTGAAAGCCAATAGATTCAAATTAGTGTCTCAAGCCTTACATTTTGATAGTGAGTCTTGATGTCAGTGATATTAATAACTTATTAATAACTTGCTCCTGACTTACTTTTTTTTTTTTAAACAAACGCCTGTGAAACTTTGTACCATGTCCATTATTTTGAGTGTTAGTTATATTTGAAAGAATTAATGAGCATACTGTGGGCGAGCATTACAAATGAAAAAGAAAAGTGTGAACGAAGGAGACGGTGGATAAATAACAATAAGTGAAAAAAGAAAACAGGTTTGCTGCATTATCACACTGTGGTACATAAGAAGTAATTGCTTTCCGTGTGTCACTTCTCATTATTTGCACAATCACAGAAATGGACCTTTCAGGTAAAGTGTGGTAGTTTCTCAGTAGGAGCTCACTTATTGATTTTCCTTGAATTACCTAGTCTTTGTTCCTTGCCTTTTTGGAAAGGCAAGAGAAACAGCAAAGAGAAAGAGCACATTAGACTTTTCAGTTTTGAGGGTTTTTTCTGTATGCATGAGAATAAGATGCTGTAGAACCCTGGTGTTGTCTCATTTAGTGTCCATAGGTTTATGCAAATCTCACACATGAGAAACATGTATGCACTAGACATAAATATCTCTTATTTTACACAAGGACTAGCCTGTATGTACATAATATGATATTAAAATCCATCCATCCACCCATTTTCTTCCGTTTAAGCCTAATGAATTCTATGTAGTAAAAATATCACCAATTAATAGTCTCAAAATCTCAAAATGGTAGTTATTTTATCCACTTAATTTTCTCAAGTACTTTGCAGCTGTTGGATATTAAAATTGTCCATAGAAAAAAACATGCAGTGCAGTCCTTTGGTCATTCCATTTTATGGATGAATACTCTTTGAAATTGTCTTACAAAATTGGACAAAAAAAAAGCCCCCAAATACAGCGTGTATTCATAGACGACTGGTTTTTGAAGCGTCTTCTATAGCCAGTAATACTTCAGTTTCTCCTTTTAGTTAATTGCATTCCAATCACATATATAAAAAACAGAGGTTGAAAACATACCTGTAAAAATGATGTGTGATTCATAAGGCTCTGAATCATCCAGGGAGAGGCGGTTCGCTATTTGAAGCAGAATTGGAAAGAGCGGGGGCAGAGACAGTATGCGAAAGGGCAAGTTATCCACTTAAAAGTAGTGTTGAACAAGAAAGAAAAAAGTGCTGAGACAAAAAAATTGACAGTTCTGCACTGCGGACATTTAGACGACAGAAGGGGAAGAAAGTAGAGGGAGAAAAGTAAAAAGACGGAAGGTAGGATAAAGTTAAAAGTTGATGTGAAACAAGGTACCTTGTTAAGAGACACATTTCCACATGTGCAGGTCCTAGATATGTGGTCCAGATAGGAGACAAGGTTATTGATTACAATGAGGACTTCCGTCTCTTCCTGGCAACACGGAATCCCAGTCCCTTCATCCCTCCTGATGCCGTCTCAGTGGTTACTGAGGTCAACTTCACAACAACTAGGGCAGGCTTGCGGGGACAGGTAACCCATTCAACCAGCACACAAATACAAATGCATATAAAATGTACAATGCCAGTAATTTAAAATGTACCTATTGAGCATAATCATGTCCATTAATAACTTTAAAGTTTATAACACAAATACATGGGATATATACTTGATGTGGCCACACAGTGTGCCCACTGGCTCTTTATTTGTGTGTCTGTATGTTAGTTGCTAGCCTTGACCATCCAGCAAGAAAAGCCAGAGCTGGAGACTGAGAAAACAAGGCTACTACAACAAGAGGAAGACAAGAAGATACAGCTGGCTCAGCTGGAAGAATCATTATTGGAGGTACTCATGCTAACATATACTGTGAGGGAAATATAGACAAGGATTACAGGGTGGGCCATTTATATGGATACACCGTAATAACATGGGAATGGTTGGTGATATTAAAGTCCTGTTTGTGGCACATTAGTATATGTGAGGGGGCAAACTCCTCAAGATGGGTGGTGACCATGGTGGCCATTTAGAAGTCGGCCATCTTGGATACAACTTTTGTTTTTTCAATAGGAAGAGGGCCATGTGACATCAAACTTATTGGTAATGTTGTGGTGGACCACTAGAGGGCTCCACTCACACCCAGTGTTGAGGAAGTGTGCTGCTGTGTTTTGTGGCACGATGTGTTCAGTTGATGTTGGAGAGGAATAAAGAAGGAGTGAGAACTGAGAGCTCTGTGTTGTCCATACTTACCTCCACATTGGTGACCCCTGACTCGAGCATGCTACGGGCCGAAGATAACACAGACTCCGCTTTGGATGCATCGGCGGCCGCTGGTCCTCCACCTCCGGTTGCAGCTGTGGTGCTGAAACTGCCGGACTTTTGGCTCCACGATCCCCCGTCATGGCTTGTGCACGTGGAGGCTCAGTCACCTTCCACGCCACCACCTGCCTCCCCCGGAGCATCCGCCCCTTTGCTGACGGCAGGGATTGCTACACGCCGGCACCGCGGAAAGAGCATCTGTTTCTACCATCAGCGTTTTGGCGACAGAGCGCGTCGCTGCCTGCCGCCTTGCGCTTTCACGGCCCAGGGAAACGGACCCGCCAGCGCGCCGTAGCAGCCGCGACCGCTGGCAATACAGAAAGGCTGCTCTTCATAGAGGACTCGCGCTCCGGGAGACGTTTTCTCGTGGACTCCGGCTCCCAGAAGAGCCTCCTTCCCCCTACCGCTGCCGACGGACTAGCAGCGAACTGTGGGCCGCAGCTCATTGCAGCTAATGGCTCTCCCATCAAAACGTTTGGGGAAAGGTTGGTGACTGTTTGTTTTCATGGCCGGGATTTCCAGTGGAACTTTGTTGTTGCCGCTAGCTCTGTACCTATTTTAGGTGCTGATTTCCTGTGTGCTCATGGACTGCTTGTCGATGTTGCTAACAGACGTTTAATTGATGCTCTCTCGTTTTCTTCGCTACCCTGTTTTACTCGGGCCGCCGAGCCCCTGATTCGGGCTAATGTAGTGACCTCCGGGGATGCTTTTCAGCGTTTGCTTTTAGAGTTTCCATCGCTGTCTGTCCCTAATTTCTCTAGCACGGTAACGAAGCATGGGGTTGAGCATTATATTCCCACGGTCGGGCCCCCGGTGTTCGCGCGCGCGCCGCCTCGACCCCGCGAAACTGTCCGTCGCTCGGGAAGAGTTTGCAGCCATGGAGCGCCTTGGCATTGTACAGCGTTCGAACAGTGCATGGGCCTCTCCGCTTCACATGGTGCCCAAATCGGACGGTCGGTGGCGGCCATGCGGAGATTTCCGCCGTTTAAATAATGCCACGGAGAATGACCGTTACCCCATCCCCCACATTCAGGATTTTTCTGCCAATCTCGCCGGAACGTCGATTTTTTCTAAAATTGACTTGGTGCGGGGGTATCACCAGGTTCCCGTGCGCGCCGAAGACGTTCCTAAAACCGCTGTCATTACCCCCTTCGGCTTGTTCGAGTTTTTGCGCATGCCGTTTGGCCTGAAAGGTGCCGCCCAGACCTTTCAGCGGCTGATGGACTCCGTTTTGCGTGGGCTGCCGTTCGTTTTTGTTTATCTGGACGATATATTGGTGGCCAGCTGCTCAGCGAGCCAGCACGAGTCCCATCTGCGCCAGGTTTTCCAGCGTTTGGCAGCGCACGGCCTGATCATCAACCCTTCCAAGTGCCAGTTTGGGTTGCCTGTTCTGGATTTCCTCGGGCACCGCATTTCCGCTGAAGGTGTGGTTCCGTTGCCCGACAGAGTCCAGGCCGTTTCGGCTTTTCCGCGTCCCACGTCGGTTAAAGCGTTGCAGGAGTTCTTGGAGATGATAAATTTTTACAACTGCTTTCTCCCCAGAGCTGCCCACCTGCTCTATGCTGCCTTAAAAGGTAAAACAGACAAAGATCCCGTTGACTGGCTGCCGAACGCGTCCAGGCGTTTTCCGCAGCCAAGTCTGCACTGGCTGACGCCGCCTTTCTGGCCCACGCCGCCCTGCTGGCCCACCCATTTCCGTCGGCGGAGATCGCGTTGACCACCGACGCGTCTGACGTGGCAGTGGGTGGGGTGTTGGAACAGCGGGTTTCAGGTCTCTGGCAACCGCTCGCCTTTTTCAGTCGTACGCTCCGGGATGCTGAACGCAAGTACAGTGTTTTTGACAGGGAGTTGCTGGCCCTGCACCTCGCGACACGACATTTTCGTTTTTTCCTCGAGGGTCGCAACTTTACTGCGTACGTTGACCACAAACCTTTGACGTTTGCGATGTCCAAGGTCTCTGACCCATGGAGCGCACGCCAGCAGCGCCAGTTGGCGGCCATTTCAGAGTTTACCACAGACATTCAGCATGTGGCTGGTAAGTCCAATCACGTCGCTGACTGTCTCTCACGCGTGTTGGTTTCTCCGGTGTATGTCCTTGCCCTTCAGTCAACAAAAACTGGCCACGTGCTGGAGGACACCCCTGTGTGGGACGGCGGTCCGCACCTGCTTTGCGACGTTTCCCTTTTTTTTTTTTTTTTTGCCTGTCCCATTTGGTTCTTTAGCCATCAGAATTGTTGTCTGAAGACCAACAAGGATACCCAATGGATTTATTTTGCCAAATGGATCATCGTGGCATTGCCGTATTGGTCCATTTGATCGACCTTTGTTTTTATTATTTATTTTATTTTATTTTCAGATGTTACAGACGGGACAGACATGAGTGAGGGATAGGAAAGGGAGAAAGAAAGAGGAAGGAAAGGAAAAACAGAAGGGGAGAGGGACAGTGAGAAAGGGGGGAAAAAAAAAAATCTCCTGGATCACCTGTTGAGAGAAGAATAGAAAACAAGCAAAAAAACAAAAAAAAACAAAGCAACATACTAAACACAACACCATCGCATTAATCTAGCTAAGTGTAAACAGCAGTAAATACTAAATATTCAATGTTGTTGTGCAGCACGCAGGACAGATGTGCTTCGAAGTAGCAGCCAAGAAAGGTGTAATTTGGGTCTACGAGCAGTGAACACCCGTGTGCATACCTGTGTGGATCAGCGCGCTTGTATTCAAAAGGTTTCTCCATGTAATGGTCTGCAAGAGGATGTAGCGAGCCATAGCCCCGTCCCCCAGGGCATGAAGCAGGCATGGAGGAGATCCAGGCCCCAGACATCCAGAGGCCCCAGAGTGCGAGAGCCCAAGGAGGACCACTGGAGGGGCATCCGTGCCACCCTCATGGGAAGGGCTGAGGATCCCCAGACGAGGCGTCACCCAGTAGCCACCGAGCAGAAGCTAGAGGGGGCTGCACCGGCGTGCCCACCGGCTCTGCCGGCAGCCAGCTGTGCCAGAGTGAACCGAGCCGCAGGCCCAGAGGCCGGAGGCCCGAGGGCCCCCCGCACCCCGGAGGAGGCCTGACCGAGCAACAGGCGCCAGGCCCCGCCAGGTAGCCACCGGGAGTGAGCTGGTACATACCTGAGCGCCCAGCCCCGGACACCAAGAACCACCAATGCACCGACCCCTGAGGGCATCAGTCACCGGCAGGGAGTGTGGTGAGGGGAGATAGGCCTTGGAGGGCCTGGGAGTTCCCAGAGAGGTGGAGTCTAAGACCCGACCTGACATATAGACACAGACAAACAGGCACACACAGACACAAACATGCATTCCCACCCTCATGCACACATATACAAACACTCAGCACTCACCCAACGTAAGGATTGACATAAATGGACATGTACACACAATCACACTCCCCAAACATACTCTATACCCCGGGTCCAGGTA